CCACCAGGGAAGCCCCCTCCAATCCTGAAAGCACCCCCAATTTCAGAACCTTGTCATTTTCTTCTATCCTTGACCATAAGCCACCTGCCTGAGCCTGGCATCCACCTAGTACCTCACCATCTAAACCAGGAGTGGGCCAACTTTTTAGTAAAGTGTGTCTGTGTTCTCAGTCGATCAGCTGTGTTTTACTCTTTGCAACTCCATGATCTGTAGACCACAAGGCTCCTCTGTCCATGGGAATTTTCAGGCAAGAACACTGGAGTGGGTTGCCATTTCCTACTCTAGGGGATCTTCTCAACCCAGGGATCAAACCCACGTCTCTCACATCTCCTGCATTAGCAGACTGAGCCTTTACCACTGAGCCACCTGGGAAGCCCCTTTGTAAAGGGTAACAGACAGTAAATATTATTGCAAGCCATTTGGTCTCTGTTGAAAATACTCAACTCTCCCATATAGCACTGAAGTGGCTATACACAATAGAGAAATGAATAAACATGGCTGTGTTCCAATAAAGTTTTTTTTTACGGGCACTGAAATTTGAGGGTTGTGTAATTTTCATGTCACAAGATAGATCTTCTGTATTTTCTTCCAACCATTCAAATGGGTAGCTTTCAGGCAGTACAAAATAGCAGGGGGTGCCAGAGTCAGTCTAGGGGCCACAGTTCATCCATGTCTGTTCTGCACGTGAGCAGGACAAGCCCCTCCACTGACCACGCCCCCGGCAACATCGTTTCCATGTTGTGGTTTAACGTTTCACCTTTGCCTTGTTCGTTCCTAACTCTGGCTGCTACTGGGTGGTGGCCAACAGTGAACCAGAAACTTAGGTATTTTGGTTAAATCTAAATCCACAACACAGCAACCCAAGGGGTAGTCTCATGGGGGATCAACGCCAGGCCAGGAAGGAGCCTAGGTTTCTGATTTCCTCTCCTGCTGTGTTAGTGTATGCAAAGATACAGTTAGACTTTTCCCAGAAGAGGCAGCAGGTCAAATCACAAAGCAATGTAAAAAGGGCATTTTTTACATAATGCCTTTTGTAATGCCCGTTCTGCATAAAGGCTCCAGGCATTTTCTCCCGTTTAAAACTTGAATTGGCAGCAAGGAAAGACCCCTGGAGTCAACTGAAATCTCTGATAAACTTCCCCCACAGAATGGATAGACCTTATTCCAACCCCTTCAACCCTGTCTGGGAACTTACACTAATTTCACAACTCCCGAAGATTCACTTGGACCGCCTCTGAACAATTCACAGTTGAAATCCTTGGAGGGCACCGTTTCAGGCCTCCTCTAGTTTTTCCATGTGATATTTCCTTTTGTCACAAAACCCATTTTGATTTGCTTGTAACAACATCAAATGCAGAGTCAGAAAGGAGTGTCTCTCACAAAAATCCTCCTGAGATTTATAGTTTTGGTTTGATCTGCCGTTTTTTTCTTAACTGTGGTACTTAAACCCTTCCTCAGCATGACTGGTACAGCTCTGAAAGCATTGACTTGTCCCTTAAAGTTCATCCAGGGAATGGCCTGGCAGTATTTATAGAGCAAAGCTTGTTTTAAAACGGAACACAATTAACACAACCATGTAAATCAGCTACACTTCAATTTAAAAAATAAAAGAGGAACATAACAGGTTGAATATTGTAAGCAATTTCATGATTTTAGAAAGTTTTGATCATTATTTTCAGTGATTTAAAACATAATTTTTTTTTTCATTTACAAAAGTAAGGGAAAAAGGGTCCTGGTGAAATTCACAGCTAACTAGCAATTTCATGAATAAGTTTCTTCAGTAAAAATGACAATTATAAACACATACATATACTTTTTTTATATCTGCCTCTATATCTATGTCTGTCTACATTTTGATCAATTGATAGATAAATAAAACAGTAGCTAATATTTGAGTGCTAGGTAGCAGGCACTGTGTTTAGTAAAATCTCATTGAATTCAACTCTTATTCGAGAAGGGGGTCATTTGCCCTTCTGAAACTAGCCAATTCTAAAGGTAACCCATCAATGTTCATTGATGCTGAAGCTGAAGCCCCAGTACTTTGGCCACCTGATGCAAAGAGCCGACTCATTCAAAAAGACCTTGATGCTGCGAAAGATTGAAGGCAGGAGGAGAAGGGGACAACAGAGGATGAAATGGTGGGATGGCATCACCGATTCAATGGACATGAGTTTGAGCAAACTCTGGGAGATAGTGAAGGGCAAGGAAGCCTGGCGTGCTGCAGTCCATGGGGTCGCAAACAGTCAGACACATGACTGAGGAACTGAACAATTACAGACCAAGAAAACACTTCCTCCATTATTCTTAATTTATAAATCCATGAATCTGTCCCTTTCCAAGTACATTATGCTGAGGATTTTGGCTTGTAAGGGATGCAGGCAAGATTCAGTTAAGTGTCATCAACCAAAGAAGTGTCATCAACCAAAGAATGAGAGGGGAGAGAAACCTGGATATAGAGAATGGACATGTGGACTTGGGGCAGGGTAGGGTGAGATGAATTGGGAGAATAACACTGATATATATGCACTCAGCTCAGTTCAGTTCAGTTCGGTCGCTCAGTCGTGTCCGAATATATGCACGCTACCATGCGTAAAATAAATGGCTAGCGGGAACCTGCCGTACAATGGAGGGAGCTCAGCTCAGGGCTGCGATGGTCTAGATGGGTGGATTGGGTGTTGGGTGGGACCGGGAGTTGGGTGGGAGGCTCAAAAGAGAGGAGATATATATGTGTGTGTGTGTATGCTCAGTTGCTTCAGCCATGTATGACTCTTCGCGAACCTTTGGACTGAAGCCCGCCAGGCTCCTCTCTCCATGGGATTCTCCAGGCAAGAACACTAGAGTGGGTTGCCATAACCTCCTCCAGGAGATCGTCTCAACCCAGGGACTGAACCCACCTCTCCTGTGTCTCCTGCATTGCAGGAGGATTCTTTACCCACTGAGCCACCTGGAAAGCCAGATATATGTACACATATAGCTGATTCATTTTGTTGTACGGCAGGAACAAACATGACATTGTAAAGCAGCTATACTCCGATCAAAGGGGAAAAGAAAAGAATTTGAGGGGAGAAACACGCTCAAAAGAATCAACTCGAAAAGAAGGCAGTGTTCTGAGTCACAGGAAGAAAGACCCATCACTTGCCTGCAAATGTATTTCAAACCTAATTCTGTCATTGAACTACATATCCTAGAATTCAACTTTGCAAATGAAAGGAATCCACTGCCTTTAATTTCAAAGGTCTTGGGAGGATGGCCAGGGCTGCTGGAGTCTCCGGATAGTTGGCACTGACTGTGCTCACATCTACCGTCTTCTGCAGCCCCTCATGTGACCTCTGAGACAGGACTTGGAGGCAATTTTGAAGCATTCTTCAAAACCACCTGGAAACCCTGAGGAAAAGAGGACACACACAGAAAGGCCCCATTCCAAAATGTCACTTAAGACGTGGAAGGCTTCTGTAGTCCCTGCCCAGCTGAGTCATTTCAAGGCTTCCAAGGAATGAAATGTGAGAGAAGATAAACTTTGCTTTCATCTTCAAAAACATCAAAAAATAAATAACATCAAAATGCAGGCTGGATAAGGAAGGCTCCAATGTGCATACATAAGTAATGGTGCATTAATCGGTCCCAGGGGATTCTCAAGCTCACTAGACTTTATTTGCTATAAAACTGGGGACCTGGGGAAAGATGCACTCAAGGATTTCAGCCAGAAAAGAGTCTCTATCCCTCTGCATCTGTGAGCGCTTCCTTCCTTTCTCAGTCAAGAGGAAAGAGATGGAATTGATCAGTTTCTCAGGCCCTCCACTCCAGGAAGCTCCACTGATGCTCCTTTGCTATTTGGCCATTTTATAGATGTCAAAGCTAGCCAGTTTTGCATTTATGTATTATGTATCTTTGATCCATGATCTAAGTAGCATTTCCTCAACTTTTAAAATCTTGGAGAAGACACTTTACACCCACTAGTTATAATAAAATGTATGAACAATAACAAGTGTTGGCAAGAATATGGAAAAATTGGAAACTTCATACACTGTTAGTGGGAATCTAAAGTACTGCAGCTGCTTTGGGAAACAGTCTGGCAGTTCCTCAAAGGCTAAACACAGAATTACCTATGACCCAGAAATTCCACTGCTAGGTATACTACCAAGAAAAATAAAAACATGCAACTACACAAAAACTTTTACACAAATGTTCATAGCAATGCTTTTCCTAATAGCCAAAAAGAGGAAATAACCCAATATCCACCAAATGATGAATGGATAAATAAATATGTATATATCCACACAAGAATAAAGAATGAGTGAAGTGCGGATACATGCTACGGCACAAATGAACCTAGAAACCATTATGGTAAGTGAAAGAAGATAGACACAAAGACGCAATATATGATTCCATTTATATAAAATATCTAGAATAAGAAAATAGCACATTGGTGTTTCCCAGAGCTGTGAGGAGGAAGTAGGGAGTGACCGCTAACTGGTATAGGGGCTTCTTTTTGGAGTGAGGAAAATGTTATAGATGGTGGTAATGGTTGCACCATCTTGTGACTATCTACCAAAAACAAAAAATCACAAATATACGAATTCTCAGGAAGAGAAAGGAAGAGAAAACTGTTTATTAATAGAGTACCAATTGCCAGGGCTGAGCTAAGCTCCTAGAGGCAGCCCTTATGTTAAGACCACGAGGCTGGTGATAATCAGTTTTTACAGTTGAGGAAATGAAGGTCCAGATAGAATCCATGACTTGTCCAACATCACCCCGCTCTAAGAAATAAACCAAACCAGTTCCCTCCCAATCCACTATCCATCGTCTTTCTTCTGGACTGCAGAAGGCTGCCTTGCTTATGTTTCCCAGGAACCTCAAGCAGAGCCTCAAATTCCTAATCTGTCATAGGGGAGGTCTCTATACCTGGCCCCACTAGTCTGTTACACAGCACTAGCCAGCAGAGTGTTATCTGTTTTCCAGGATGGGCGCTGGTCACCAATCCTCAGCTGTTCAAATCTGCCATGTTTTACTGCAATTGCACGTTTCAGTTTTCTATACGTGGGATCAAACAACCTCCCAGAGCACCTGGTGGCGGGAAGCTACCTGAGGTCACCAGGGATGAAGAAACTGGGAGTGGAACAGAGTACCCAGTTCTCCGGCAATCCACTGAAGGCCCAACTTCTCCTCCCCACTCTTTACCTGCCCACCCTGTCCGAGGCCACCACCAGCTGGACTTTGAGGCAAACCTCTTGAATGAATCCGCCCCCTTCCAGGCTGGAGACGGCAGGGCCAGGTACCCCTCCTTCCTCACTAACATGCCTGACTTTTGCTCATGTCTTGATGACAGTCACACAGTGGTTCAACTAATTCCCAATGTTTACTTCTGTCCTAGGGTGAGAGGACAGGGGGAAGCCATAAGCTTTAGGATTCTTATCAAGTCCTGCCTATGTGTTTATTGGGAGCATGTCTCAAAAAAAATTATGTCCAAAAAGTATCTCAAAAAAAGTATCTCTCATCCTTCCCATGGACCACATTACCTTCCTTCCCTTCCCTTCCCGTGTCTAATTCTTTTCGATCCCATAAGACTGGAGCCTTCAGGCTCTTCTGTGCATGGAACTCTCCAGGCAACAATACTGGAGTGGGATGCCATTGCCTTCTCCAGGGGATTTTCCTGACCCAGGAATTGAACCCAAATCTCCTGCACTGCAGGCAGATTTTTTACCATCTATGCCACCAGGGACGCCCCCTTGATGATGAATCTAATTCTAAAATGAAAATAGCTAATGGCTGGTATAGGATTACAACTTACTTCATCTAATAACAATATAATTTACATTGTAAAAGCCATAGACTGCCCCTAAACAGTCTCAAAAATATAGAAGATACATCATGAAATTGCATGAACATGGAGCATCAAGTCCTTCCTGAAGCCTGGCCAACCAAGGAAAGCCTGCTGGTCAAGACGGCCAGAGGGGTACAGAAGTCTTCCTGTATACATGTGACTACCTTAAAAAGGCTGCTTTCACCTGTTTTTACTTTTTTTTTTAATTGAAGTTTAACTGATTTACAATGTTATCTTTTTCTTTTTTGGCTGTGCCATGTGGCTTGTGGGTTAGTTCCCCAATTAGGGATTGAACCCAGGTCACAGGATTGAAAGCACTGGGTCCTAACCACTGGTCTGCCAGGGAATTCCCGTGTTATCCTATTTTTTATTTTTATTATTTTTTATTATTTTTTTTCCGTGTTATCCTCTATTTTTTAAATCTCATTCTTTTAGGTGGGATTATAGCCCTGTCCTGATAATAAATAGTGCAGGAGATTGGCAAGTGCAGAACGAGGGCTGAGGTCACTCTTCAGTTGGCTGGTGAGACCCTCGCTTCACTAATAGCCTCAAACAGAACAAAGATGCCAAGGACAGCACCTTTGTCTTTTTTTTTCAAGAGAAATATTTTATTCTAAACTGAAAAGTTGAGTTCTGGCCAAACACGGCACTTTTTAACCACCAACAGCCCCAGAGGGTTCTGAGAGCATGGCTGAAGTTCAGATGCCAGATTGTTTTTGTCTTCTGCTGGTGTGAAGGCTGGCAAGCTGATCTAATGAAGCCTTAAAAGTCACAGACACATATTTGTCAACAGGCAAAATGCCGTTTCCCTCTTCAGATTCTTGGTGGCATGGAAACAATACGATTATTATAAAAATCTGCTCAAGTTGTCTTTTTGAAAATTTGAAGCAAAGTGTAGTTTCCATACATCATGAGGAAGGCAGCTTAAAAGGTTTCAAGGTGCCCAGTATGCAGAGCTTCTAGTTATCTCCCTTCTGATGACCTCCCATCCTTAGAACAGCTGCCCAGCCACAAAGCTCTCTCCCATGCCCTTCATTTGCTCCTCTGGGAGCAGCTAGGATCCAGAAAGGAACACAGACTTCCCTGGGGTCCCAGGAAGCAATGAAGCCAGGACTTGAACAACCTTTTCTGATTTTCCACTAGATCCACCTGTTCCAGGTACTGCTGGGTCCTGGCCAAGCCCTCTGAGAAGTCACCTGTTTGTAGCAAACAACAGACCTCCCCAGCTCTGCCTTCCTTCCGGGCGATCACACCACGCGGCACCGAGTCAACACCTTCGAGCACGGGAAACCACTTGGTAAGACACGAGTGTTAAAAAAATAAGCCGCATGACATTTATTTTGTCTTGTTAACATTAATATCTGTAGAAACATTTTTATTGTCAGTATAAAAATTAACAGGTTTTATTAAATACTTTCTCCAATTTCATAACACGTTAAAAATCAGTGTCATCCGCATTCATGTCGCACAGCCAGAGCAGAGTGAGAAGGTGTTTTGAAAGCAAAACACAACACGTTCATACAGAACGAACACCATGGCAGTAACATTACGCTGACATCGGGCGGGATCTTTCAGTGAGGTCCTGCCAGAGGAGGCGGAAGCGATCCCTTAAAAAGATGGAAGGATCCCCCAAACTATCAGCAGAACAACTCAGTGTTTCCATTTTCTCCGACGGGGCATGAAGATTCTAAGAGACTTCTCTGTTGCCAGTGAATCTGGAAGCCGTGATGAAGATTCGCCAAAGAGAATACAGACTAATCTGATCAATGTGCAACTTGGCAGGGAGGGGGGCAGAAGGCCAGCGGCTGGACAGAACATTCTATTAGCATCTCGATGAGAGTTCCTCCTTTGAGGAACGGATTAAGGCATCTTTTTAAGAGAACGCTGGTACCGTTTGTCTTGGGAAGCCCAGTGAAAGGTTTATGGGCCCAATGACCACGCTGCACCAAAGCAACACACTTTCTCATTAATGGGCTCTTTTACGGGCAGTTAGGTGGTTAAAGGACAATCATCTGACAGCAGAGTTGAAATACAAATAAACCAAAACTTCACTTCCCCCAAATTAGTCGTATTTTGTAAATATTTCTCTTTTCAAAGGATCTGGTAACTAGTTAAGTTCAAGCAAGAGATTAACTAGTCTGGTGCGCTGCCTGCATAGAAATGCCACTTAAATTACCAAAACAAGAAAAAGAAAAAAAAAATAAACAATTGTTTTGTATATTACCAATTCATTAATAAATTAATGTCATATCATTTTTCCCTGAAAGCAAAAGTACTTTTCCACCTCCACTCGGTGAAAATTAAGAAATTCTGTGTAAGAAACAGCATTTAGCAAATAGCTATTTTTAAAAAAAGAGAGAGAGAGACCAATTTGCTAGGTGCGCTGGGACATCCATTTAAAATCAATACAAAAAATAATTCCTTGTAAATATATAATATATATTTATACACAATTTGAATATATTTACATACATCCAGCACCTATATACTGCAATTGTGCTCTATAAGTGTGCGCTGACATATATTTTCTCCAATTATTACAAAATTCACAAGGCAGGCAGAACATGTGTTTGCCTCAAGTCCGGCTGGTCCACAGCCAGTACCCACAGTGGGTCACGAGCACGTGGTGGCCGATGGCAGTCCATTGCCCCCACAACCTTCTTGTTCTCCTGGTGAAGATTACAAGTCTCCAACTGGATAAATTCTTTACACGTGTGCCGATCATTTTTCCAAATATTTACTCCTCTGATCCATATATACAAGCCAAGACAACAGGCTCCTGGAGGCAAGGACCCCCTGCTCAGTACAGCTAAGTTCCTGACACCACCCTGTTTGGGGACAGGGGGACAGGCCCATTCATGTTTTAACACTGCCGTTTCTATGTGGATACTGAGGAAGGCAGGGTTCGTAAGGCATGGGGTCCGGAGAGAAAACAGAATCATCTCCCGAAGAGCAAGAACTCCTTGTGTCAGGGTAACTAGGTGAATACTGTTCAAGAAGCTGACTGAGGTCCAAGTATTCCTGAAAGAAGGGAAGAGAGACGTTTTATTTCATCTCGGGTCAGGATAACAAGGTGAATACGGTTCGAGAGGCTGACTGAGGTCCAAGTATTCCTGAAAGAAGCGAAGAGAACACCTTTATTTCAAACACAGGTTCTTGGGACGTTGATATGGGAGTAGGGACAGGATGGGGGCACCCCCAGCAGGGAGAGACCCACCCAGCCCAGCTCCCGCAAAGACCACCTTGAGACCCCGACTTTATCTCCTCTAGGTTACCCTTCAATAGTTACAAACTATTGCCAAGTGGGGAACCCTAATACCCAGCCGAGCGGTCACCTCAATGGGCAGACCCCAGGACTCGTTGATGGACCACAGTTCAAATCCATGCCCAGCAAAATGGGGAAGATGTAAGAAGCTGTGGAAGTCCAGGACATCTTTCCAACACTGAGACCCTGAATATTTATGTCACAAATTACATTTTACTACTGTAGCTTCTAGGATAATTTAAGGGGAATATGTCTTCATTCAGCGGCTAATTTCACAGATGCAATTCATTACTCTCAGAAGCTCTCTGAGTTGAAAATGTAAACAGGTTCAAAAAAGGCTTGGATAGGCTCATGTGTCTTATATCCATAGTAGACAGCAAAAGAACAGTTTAGGAAAACGCAGGTTATATTTCAAAGTTTTGCAGGTTTGAAATTCAAAAAGGGCTCTTCTGCTCCCTGAAGCACTTAGCGGTGTTGCTGCCAGGAAACCTACCCAACGGACCCTAATATTTGTTTCAACTTAAAACAGGTGAAAATCTTCTACCTGCTCTTGTGTGGCCCGTGAGCTAAGAATGGCTTTTAACATTATGAAATGGTTGGAAAAAAGAAAAGAAAAATCAAAAGAAGAATAATATCTCATGGTATTAAACTATGTAAAATGTCCTAAAATTTAAATGTTAGGGTTCATCCAGTTTTTTCTGAACATAGACTCGTTTATTTATTCATTTACACAATGTCTGTGCCTGTTGCTACAGAGATCCACAAAGAGGCCTATGAAGCTGAAAATATTGACTATCTGGCCCTTGACATAAAAGGTTTGCAAACTATGAAAAGATTTCTAAACTGGGCCACTCCTAGGTCTCACTGCCGTATCCAGGCTAGCATGTTGGGGTGCTTCTGCTCACACCCCCAAAAGCCAAGGAGTATACCGTGATATGTGGTTTTGCTGAGAAGGGGACAAAAAGTGTAGACCACAGCACAACCAGCCTCGGTGTTATCAGAGAAGGGCCCACAGAATGTTGGCGACTATGCATTTTAACAGACAGGGAAAAAAAAAACCCAAACCACCCCTATAATTCATCACCAGGTTTGGCAAGAAAAAGAGTCCCCATCCAAGAAAGGGGGATGTGTCAGCTCCAACAACATCAGCATGAACCACACGACTGGAAACAGACACGCCCACCACATCAAAAGAGAACTTTTTTGCTTACAATGATAAAAAATGAAATTTTGTCCTAAATGGAACCATTTTTCTCCAGCATGTGGTAATGATTTTCAGAAGGAAAGAACTTCGATTTTTATATTCATTAGACAATATGGCATTCTGCTTTTTTTTTTTTTAATTTTAGGATGCTAAATATAAATTTCAGGGTGAAAACAGGCCCACTTTAAATGTAAATATATAAATAAATGGCATAGAGCATGAACACAGGATCATTAAAATGGAACTTTAGTGCTTTTTCAGTTTTTAACTGAAGCCATAAATGTTCAGATCTGATAGGGGAGAAAAAAAACCTAGGGATATCAGTGGATTCCAAGTCTAGGGTTAAAGGAACTTATACTAGAAACAACAATTTTGGCAGGAGAAGAAAGTTGGTTTTTTTTTTCCCCCCTTGAACTGTTCCTTTCCTTTTAACTTCTGAAGGTCAGCTGTATTCATTTAAATGCAATCTCTCCCTTTATCAGCCACAGTCAGACGCATAGATAATATTGCTGGCTTAAGGCTTCAAATCACAACATTTAATTATTTAAAAAAAAATCAATCTGAACTATTAAATACATTATTTTAAAATAAATGTGTTCTTTTCCTTCTAAAATGTTTAGGCAGTTTTAACCTTTTCTGTTGTTATTAAGACAACTATGGGGATTTTCTCCCCTTGTCTGGAGGAACACTGTTCTATATCCTCATTAAATACTATTTCTCTCTATTGTGGGGTTTTTCTGGCCTTGATGGGTTTATCATCTTTCCTGCTCACATCACTTTCTTTCCACAACCAAAGATCACTCTCTCTGCATGGTGAAGTAGCCATGGACATGGCTGAGTGTGGACAGTGAGTGACAGAAGACGGTTTCTTTTGTTGTTATAGGTTATAACTATTTTATAGAAAATACATATTTTATCAAAAGTTTTCACTTAAAAATCCTGTAAGTCACTTTTTAAAGGAGTGACTCTGTGCATGCTTACACTACGATCACACAGGGTCATGTAGGTCTATGTCCTGCATTATACAGAAGCTGGAATGGCACAACTTCACTTCATCCTGCAAGTTCATTGGTAATAGACCGTCAGCAGCCCTCTGAGGAGCCCTCAGAGTACTGACCAGGAGCCCTCAGAGTACTGACCAGGAGCCCTCAGAGTACTGACCAGGAGCCCTCAGAGTACTGACCAGGAGCCCTCAGAGTAATGACCAGCAGCCCTCAGAGTACTGACCAGGAGCCCTCAGAGTAATGAGCAGAGCAAGGAATCCAACCAGCACAGAAACCCCAGCTCCTTCCCACTCAAATCCAAATGATGCAGTTTTAGACATTTCTTTCCCCCTCCCCATCTTCCTACACACACACACTGTGGACCCACAAGCCACAGTGAGGGGCGGCCTCAGGTGGGGCCCTCTGTGTCTGCTTTTGTGAGTCGGAACTCTCAAGATGGAGTTCCAAGAAAATTCAGGGTTTGGGAGGAACACAGTTTCACTCTGTCCAAGCCCTGGAACAATGATAATAAACTGTACCCAGACTCCCACTGGGGAGGCTGCATTTCAAAAGCTGCACGGGGACTCCCCAGCAAGGACCCCTGGCTTCTGGAAGGAGGCTCTTACCTCGTTGGTTGTGAGTGTGAGGATTCGATCCAAGTCTTCTACCAACTGCTTGAAGGTGGGTCTCTGTGAGGGCACCGCATGCCAGCAATCTCTCATCATCATATACCTGGAAGAGATGGATTTCCTTGGTGACTTAATTCCCTGAAGACCAGGGGTGTGGCTATAAGCCACTCTTAACAGTCAGTATGGAGACATGTCCTCAATTATGAAAATGTATCAGAACTTCCCTAGCAACTGAATTAGGAGGTGGTGATCCACTCTGCCAAAAGAGGCACTTAGTTCCTCTGAAAGGCACTTTGATTTACAAAAATACCACTTTATCCAAAATGCTTTAGGATGGTATCTACACACTTCTGGGAAGTTCCTGGTGGTCCAGTGGTTAGGACTCAGCGCTTTCACCACCAAGGACTGAGGTTCAATCCTTAACCGGAGAACTAAGATCTCACAAGCCATGCATTATGGCCAAAAACCCAAAAGGACACTTCTATGTGTTTTCCTGGTTGACTTCCGGTAGCCCTGGAGCAGTGACTTATAATGTGGCATCACATTTCCACACTTCTGGACATTGTGGGAAGAGCCAGGTAGGGGCGGGTGGGAATCCACTCTTCCCTCCCCACACACCCTGCCAGGACCAAAGCTGCTCTACTGTTATCTGCCCAACACTCTGGACAAAGGTTCCTCAGTTTTGAAAAACTGAAGTTTGAAAAGCACAACATTAAGGCAAGGTTCTTATGAATTAACCTGTCGTCACTGGGCTATGCCTTCACTTCCGGATTAACTCTTGGACAGGCCTAGGTTCCCAGGCCTTATCTTGACGATGGGTTTCGACAGACCCTCTATAATAGAAAAAGCACCAGGAATGACAAGGAGCACAATAAATGCCTTTATATAATATACTATAAAATGTGACCATTCATCTGACGCCCACTACGCACCGCAAAGCACTCATGGGATTACTGATATAAAATCCCCATGAAACAATACCCAAGAGACCGCAGTCTCTGAAAAAAATCCCTCTTCTTAGTTGACACTGGGAGTTGGGAGGAGAGACTCCTTTTCAAAGCACTAATTTTGCTGCACAAGACGCTTGTCAACAACACAAGTAATTCCATTTAAAGTACAGGGTAGGTTTTGCTCGAAACCAGTTTTATAGTCAGATCAGGATTAATACACTATATTAGCACCTGAACATATTTTTAATCCTCTGGCACTGAAATATGGGTAAAATATAAGTAAGCATACACTAGTTCATTCACCCTGAGGGCTGTGGTCGAAATCCATCTATAATAGCAATGGTCACAAAGAGGCTGCAGAAGCACCCACTCTCTACTCACAGTGCAGAGGCCACAGACCACTCATGAGAAATGGAGGCAGCCCCATGGATCTCAAGCTTGTATATGAGGGAAGGCTTGATGTATCTTCCTTTCACTCTGAAGAACAGTAAGGACAGCACAGCGGCCCAGGAAGATAACTGTGGGGCTCACTATGGAAAGCTGGGAGCCCTCGGCCAAGCACCCAACACATCCGTGGTGTAAAGCTCACTCCATACCACCTCAGAAGGATGCTCTTTCTTTTGGACAGTCAGGCCTGTCTGAACTATCTCAGTTCTGGGATTGAGCCCAGGAAGTCTCAGCAATTCTTTTTCTCAGGACATATTTAAAAACCTGGGGGCCCTAGGAAACCAAACCAGCCAGGAGAAGCATTAGTGGCATGGCAGGTCCCCTGGGGCATCAGGAGAGACAACAGCCCTTACAGTTCGTTGGTGCAGTTTGCTGGCTTGTCCATCCTATGTCCCTCCTTAAGCAGCTTAAAAAGTTCCTCCACGGGAATCCCTGGGTAGGGCGAGCCCCCTAACGTGAAGATCTCCCACATTAACACCCCGAAGGACCAGCTGCAAAGAGGAGAGAAAACAGCATTAGTAACCCATCTGAATCACAGAAACCTAAACACACCCAGTTAAGAAAACAAACTCCCCCTCACTTCTTACGTTCAAAGACAAATGACCGGGGCCCTCCTGCAGTTCATCCAACCTGCCCCTTCCTGCCCCCAGAAAGCATCCCCAGATGACAAAGAGGAGATATTCTGATGGGATTTTCCATCAGCAGACAACAGATAAGTGATGGTAAACCACCACTCTCTGGGGAGGGTGGGGAGGGGAAACAGGGATGGAGATTTGGTTCTTCCTTCCCCCACTTTCAAACAGAACTCTTCGTCTTCATGCAGTGTTCGCAACATGAGCTTCTAAGCTGGAAACACACACTCACTGATTCTATTAGGGTGGGTTTCAGAAATGAAACTGCCTTCAGTTTTGTATACAGGAAGAGAAGCAGCTCACTGCAAAACTGGAAACCATAAGGCTCTCTTTCTAGGACCGCTGAAGAGAACCAGTGGCCACGGCACAGGCTCCATGGCTGGCCCAGAAACCCTCCCACCCACACAAGTAAGAACAGCTCAGCTGACTTTTTAACTTTTGGAATAATTATAGATTCACAGGAACTTACAAAAATAGAACAGCGCAATCCTCTGCACCTTTCACCCAGTTCCTCACAGTGGTAACATCTTCCCACCAGATTTCCAAAGCTAGAATTCTAAAACACCGCTGAGAGCCTAGCCCTGATAGTATTTTTAGGTGTATCATAATTGAAACACTGCAGAGTTTTCACTCTACTGCTGTAATGTTATCAAGGCTGCAAAGACGAGGCTGGACATTTTTCAAAGGGTAAACAGGGAGTAGGCTCTGTGGAGATCCACTGAGTGGCTCTCATCCCAACCAGCCTCCCCCTGTAAGGACAAACCGCTCTCAAGAAGGAAAAGTTGAAGAGCGCGAAGGACATGCCAACAGCTTGGCAAGTTAGATAGCAGCTTTGTACTTGCACATCCGTGAGTAAGTTCAAGGGGGGAGCTTCCGCTCTGGCAGGAGCAGGATAGCAGTTCCACCTCCCATGTGCTTTGAAGCCAGGCAGATTAGTAACAGAGCATTGGTTACCAGCCTAGCAGAAAATCCGTCCTTTCTAAGGCTGGCTTCTGCACCTTCTCTGCGTGTGTGAAATGCAGCAGGCACCAAAGAAGGAAGGAAGGCGAGGAACAGACAAGATTTCTGCAAGTCAACCCCAGGGAGAAGGCAGCAACAAGGGAGTTACTCACACATCACTCTGATGGGTGTACACTCTGTCGAAAAGGGCCTCAGGAGCCATCCACTTGACCGGAAGTCGGCCCTGCAAGTGTGGAAGAAATGTAAAACCCAGTATATTAAAACCAGTTTACTTTAGCAGCCCCACCCGGGCTAGCCCTGTTTATTTTAAGAGCTGACACTCTAATGGTTTTTTGCTGGAGAGTCATTAGTGAAAAAATACGCTCCAAAGGGACTACACAGCGCGTGGGAGATGCACAGATACGGACACATTGATAAAGGGTCGTTTCCTCATGATCATACATCTTCCCCAGCACGTTGACACACCCTGGCCCATTTCTAGGTGAAAATTAACCCAGAAACTCCCAAGGTCCAATCTTTGCTAGGGAATTTCCAGATGAGGAGCCTTATGAAGATCCTAGAGGCTGATTATTCAGTATATAAGACTGGTTCACATTTACTAAGAGTCTTAACTCTTAGCAAGAGTTAAGCCTGAATTTGCTTATTGAGAAGTTTGTAAGGAGTAATGCAAACGAGCGGGAATAAAAAGGCATTGGTCATTCTAGTTCTGAACATTATCGTTCACCTGGAACACTCCGTGCCACCCCTCCAACCCTCTCCCACCATATCATCACCGTAGACTCACATTTGTGGTCTTTTTGTAATAGTCTATATTGTTGATATCTCTGGCCAGTCCAAAATCAGCTATTTTCATCACGTTGTTTTCTGTTACCAAAACATTTCTGGCAGCTAAATCTCGATGAATGCACTGAAATTAAAAAAAAAAAAAGAAATGTGTTTCAAAATGCCACAAGGATAAAAAAGGTAACACAGGCACTTCTTATAATGTAGACAGAAAATACAACTGAAGTCAAAAATTGGTGTTTCTTTTCTAATTAAAGACTAAGGCCCCAACTATTTCAACGAGCAAAGGTAGATAAGAAACCACATACCTTTTTAACTTCAGTTGACTGGCATCCTTCACATTGTGAAGACTCAAATGCAATTTTTTCCCTCTCTGCAGTTCAGGACACTGTTCTCTTGCTCATTTTTGAGGCTGTCCCCTTGCTGAGTTCCACCCCATCCCTTCTCTTGGCTCCCTCTCCTCCTCTCTCCCCACCCCTTCAGATTCCTTGGCTTACCTCCTCTCTCCCTCAAAACAGAGGACCTGCCCCATTAATTTTATATATTTTCCACACATCCTCATGGCTCCCATTCTTAGACACACAGGAAAGATCTTCAAATTCTTATCTATATCCTGACCGCTTTCCTGGGATCCAGATTCTCACTTTTATCAGGCTACAGGGCACTGCCACATCCCTTTGGCACCTTAAATTCAAGGTCTCTCCTCTTATCTTCTTGGTCTTTTTCACACACACCTGTGACACACACACCAGAATTCTTTACAAACTCCTCCCGAGTTTTGATTTCAACTCCCAAATGCCTCTCCAATTTGTCCACCCAGCTCCACTCCCCCTGCCACCCGCTTAGCCCAGGGTCTCATCACTGCCCACCCCCATCCCCTGCAGATGGCCACACTATCTGCACAACAGTGTCTGTGCTTCCAGACTTAGCCCTATTGCATCTTCTTTTCTGTTTCCCTCAAATTTTGTTTCTGAAGGAGCTGGTCACATCTGTTCTGGGCTTATATCAAAGTCACTGCCTGTCTATCCAAATCCTCTGTCCAGTTCTCACCCAACACCTGGACCCCACATAGGGCCCAACCTATGTCTGCCACATACACAGGGGCCCGGCGCTGAGATGCTTACTACAGGGCAGCCGATTCATGGTTCTAATGTGATCTCTTTAGCCTCAGAAAGCTCTAGTCCTTATACTTCTATATTTCCTTTCTGCAAATGATATGCTTTTGTAAGCTGTTGAAAGCGTTTTAGTTGTACTTTAATACACCAAAATCTCATCAGTATACATAGTAATTGAGGTCCCAAAAACCTCCTATTTTTGGAAATGGTAAGGTAGACAGAAGTAAACAAATATCCCTAACAAACCCTTTTACATAGGTTCTGGGCAAAGGCAAACTATTATATGAAGGAGAGACTCCTAGCACCCCTCTGATATGGGTGAGATGGGGCTGGTTTTAGATAGACCCTCTAAGAAACAGGCCATTAAAAAAAAAGGAGCAAGCCAAACTCTCCCTGAAGAATGAATTAGGAACCATTCTTGTCTGCCCACCCTCCAACTATTCCCTGTTTTCATCCGCTTCTGTGGCCCCTGGACGGGCTAAGGTCACCGAGGGGAAAGCAGAAGCCCACAGGCTGCCTGTGCCCGGCCGGAATGGAAGCAGGAAATGCAAGAGCTCCCAGAAGCTGCCCGGGGATCCGGTCGGGGCGGGAGCCGGGTTCCTGGTTTTGGAGGCCTCTTCAAATGGAACTTCCAAGTCCTGGGCCAAACTCTCCTGGTGGTGTGCTCCCCGCCGACAAGACTGTGAGATTGGCAAGCCGTGCGGTCAGAAGAATCTGGCTCCTCGTGCACGGGGCTCCGACCACACATAAGGGCTCAACTCCGAGTCACCATGATGGCGACCTCCATTTTCACTGTGAAAGCCAGAATCCATCACCAGCCTCCTGCGTCCCAGGGGGCTGGGAAACACCAAAGCCCACCCTCTGGGCTGAACAAGAAGAAACTTGGAACTAACACCCAAGAAAAAGAAAATAATCAACGTCAGGCCAAATTTCCATCATCTGCAGAAATCTGAGTTGTTCTCCAGTGCAGAGCTGGCCATTTTACATAACTAGAGCTCTTGAAATATTTGGTTTTCCTTTTTTTTTTTTTAAATAAACAAAGGTCAACGGGTCCCTAAGGAAGGAAGACCTCTATGACCCTGACAGTGTGCTGGATGCCTGTGCACAGTTGATCACATTAAATTTCCAAGGCAACTTATGAGATGGGTGTTATCATAGCCATTTTAAAGATGAGGAAGCTAAGCTTAAAAAAAAAAAAAAACCAAAACCAGCAAAAATAAAGACAGCTGTTTAAGTTAAACACCTTGGAGGTTTAACTGTCCTTAAGATTTTATAAAAAAAATTAGTGTACTTTGCACTAAAAATAGAAAAGCTTACACAACTGGGATAAGGCTCAAATCACCCATTGTATAACTGTACACATCACAGCGTCTTTTAACTTGTCCATCTCCAGCTTAAGTGCAGGACTGCAGGTTCATCTCAGGTACACACCCAGCACAGAGCCTGACCCCGTCAATGTCCACTGAACTGAGTTTCTCATTACACTCCATCAGCAATGAGCCAGATGTCACAGCCAACAGTTCCTCAGGCGGGTCTCTAACAAACGCATCACCCTCTACCGGGACAGAATATGTGTGGCAGAGCTAGGATCTGACCTGTCCCTTGCTTCTCCATTGTCCACTATCAGAAATAAGCCCTCCAGTTTTAGAAGCAGGTTCTACTCAGGGTACCATTCTTAAGATCCTCATCTAGAACCTGCTCAAACCTGTTCTAGGTCCTTAATTACAGGTGGCCTTTGGCAAAGAGCTTTGGAAACACGACTGCAAAGTCTTGGGAAACAGGACTCTGTCCCCTCTATTCCACCCTGGGTTGGCAAATGAAGCCCAACACGGAGCATTTCTTCTCATCTTCTTGGTCTTTTTCATATACACCTGAGATATACACAGAGAATTCTTTACACACTCCTCCTGAGTTCTTTTTTATTTCAACTCCCAAATGCCTCTCCAATGGTCCTTTTCTTGGTCCAGAGAGGCGGGAGTACCTGAGAGAAAGACAGCTGAGTAGAAAACCAAAAGGCCAGGTCTGGGTCCAGCCTCTTTATTCTCTGAACTGACGAGTGCCTATCTCAGAAATGAGCACAGTGACACACACAACTGGACTCAAAGGTTTCCTGCAGTTTCCTAACAGCCCCCAGCATCTTTACCCACAGGACAGGGATTATAAACACACCTGTTTCTGAGTTATTCTGGGGTTACGGACAATACTGTATGTAAAATGTTCGCCCCGGGCCTGGGAGGACACTAAGCTCTCAAAAAGTGGTAGTGATTAGGAGTATGATTATTATTACAATACTACTACTAAGAGCACTTTCAGTTTTTCATTCTAAAATGTATTCTTTTCCCCATTTTGCAGAGTTCATCGGATCCTCAGTTCTCTTTTCACCACACCACAGAGCAAAGCAGGAAGGCTCTGATCCTCGGGGCCAGGGTACAATGTGGGTGGTGGGGCGGGGCAGGACCACCATCATTCCACGAGCCAGACTCAACCATCTTCTTTCTCCTCCTTCTGCCTTCCTGAGACACCTCTCTGGACCTCCGTGAACCACATTCTGGGTTTCTTCCTCCTCCTCTGAGAGTGTCTCCTCCGTCTTTTCCTGCGCTTTAAGTCAATCTCTAGATTTGAGAGGTTTCTCGGGGTTTGACTCCAAGCTTCTGTTTCTGCCTCTCGCCAACCTCCCTGCCCAAGGTGAACTCATCCATTCCCATGCCCTGAACCTATACCTTCTTCACTGGCTCCAGTGTCTTGCCCAGCCCCCCAGAGCTGAGTTGCAGCCTTCAGTGTCCTGGTGGACATCTGCCCTTGAATGACCCTTGGACATACTGGAAATGCACCTGGGATTTCCCATGGGAATCAATTCCTGCCACCGCCCCCGCCCCTCCCATCTTCCTCATCCTGATAAGCGGTACCACCATCACACCACCGTCCAGTTTCTCAAGGTGGAAATCCAACAGTCATCCTTGGTCCCTCTTTCTCTCCCTCCCATCTCTACTCAACCCATTAACTGTCCTGATGGCAAAATATATCCCAAACCAATCTACTTCTCCGGTGTCTATCGGAGCCAATAAACCTTAGCCGAAACCATGGTCACAAGTAGTCAGCTTTATACTGCGAACCTGATCCAAATCACTGCCCCTTGGAGGGGAGAAGGAAATGGCAACCCACCCCGGTATTCTTGCCTAGAGAATCCCGTGGACAGAGGAGCCTGGTGGGCTGCTGTCCATGGAGTCGCACAGAGTCAGACACGACTGAAGCGACTTGGCATGCAAGCATGAATTGGAGAAGGAAATGGCAACCCGCACCAGTATTCTTGCCTGGAGAATCCCAGGGACAGAGGAGCCTGGTGGGCTGCCGTCTATGGTATCTCACAGAGTCAGACACGACTGAAGTGACTTAGCAGCAGCAGCAGCCCCTTGGAGGTTTCCCCAGTGCCCAGAGCCAAGTCTTGCCTGGGGCTGTCACCTTCTGAATGAGCAGGGCCTGCCTCCACACAGCTTGTCCCTCTGCAGGAGGGCTCAGCCATCACCTTTGGTCCCCAAACCTCCCGAGTCCCCCCTGCCCCGTTCCTGCCCACACGCCAGGGGCTTCCTCCACAGCACAATTCTCGGCCTTTCACATGCTTATTTTTATGCCCATGTCTATTGTTGATTTCACCTGCTGTCTCCCACAGTGCCTGCTCCAAGAGGCCAAGGACAGCGTCCATTCCGGTCACCTCACAGGGAGCCTGACCCAGTGCATCAGGCATCCGAATCAGGAACACTCAGGCATATTTGCTGAAGGATTAATAAAATGACCAGGCCAGCCTTCTACCACTTTGTATCAGGAGCAGCTCCCTGCTGAGACCTCAAAACCTTCCCCCCTCCACACCAGAGCCGGAGGACAGAGCAACAAGGACCAGAGGGTCAGACCAGGCAGCCTGCAGGCAGGATGTCTTCCCAGGGTTTTACTTAGCAATTGTTCCAAGCTATAGAAAAGGTATAATAGAACAATGGATATCCATGTTTGCCAGATTCAATTCTTATGCTTCCTTGCTCTCCCTTTCTCTCTACCCCCAGACTCCCCACACACACTGTTTATGGCTGAACCATTTAAAAATGAGTTACAGACTTCATTAGCAGGTATCTCCTACCACAACACAAGACCTCTGTCACTGCCCCCAAATTTAACATTGAAACAGTCACATTACCTACTATACAGTCCATATACATGTTTTAAATGTTCATAGATGGTTTTTACAAAAGCTGTCCCCCTATCTCCCGCCCAGAACAGGGACCTAGTCCAGGATCGCACATGTACATTTAGTTGTCATGACTTTTCAGCGTTCAGAGTTCTTTTCATCTGGAACTCTCTCTGCAGGATTTTTTTTTTTTTTCAGTCTTCTGTGACTCTGACATTTTGAAGCAATGTCTTGTCAAATGTCCCACATTCTGGATCTGATTGTCTGACTCGTCAGCTGGCAAAGTCTGCTGCACACATACACAAACATACACACGCACACAACTCCATCCTGTCTTGGTTTCCTAAAATCTACACATTGGGAGACTTTACAAGAAAAAACAATTTTTTTTTTGAAAAATCTTCAACTCTGGACTCTTTTGCTAAGAAGAGAAACCCAGAACATGTGGTAACTCTGGCTGTGCTCCCACCTGGCTACAGACAGCAGGGGCCGAGGTGCAGCGGGGCCCTTCCTGAATCGCTACGTGGTGTGACATGACAGGGGCCGCCTTGTCCCATCAATGACCGTCATGGCCAAGATCCAGCGGGGGGACAGAGGTCCACGCTCACCAGAGGCTCTTACTTCTTCGGGGACCCAAGGAATTACTGGTGTTTCATGACACGCCAGAGCAGATAAGAACAGGCCCACCTCTGCCCAAGGAAGAAGCTGTGGACCTTCCCCGAAGTGTGGGCAAGGGAAGGGTGCCTGGGGCCAATCCAAAGTGCCCCAGGGGACATCTGGGCACCCGTCTAACTGCTTTCAGAATAACTCAGATGTTTCAAGTTCCAACTGCGTGCAGCATGCTCGGAATGCAAGTGATTCACCTCAGGGGACCCGGCCAACTTTTAACTGCAGAGGGTCACCTCGCGAAATAAGACAAAATAAATCCAGAGAATACCTGGCACTCGATGCTACCAAAACACCCCATCATTTGATCTCCATTCCTAGAATCTTTAACATGGTTTCAAACTCAAAACCACAGGGATGACACCCGAGGTCCACGTCCAGAGACTCAAGAACCACAGAACAAAGCCAAAAGATCATCGGCATCAAAGGCAGCGCCCCCTAACCCCACTGCCGCCCACTTGGAAAGCTGGTTCCCCAAAGGGTTCTGGCCAGCCCCGTCTCTGAGAAGAGACGTCTTCTCTGCTCATCTCTGTGGTGCTGCTACAGGTCTATGATGCAACTCTGGCTGTTAAAGAGTTCATCAAACCCCAGTATGAATAATGCAAGACACATTTTCCAGGTTGTACAAGACAGGCCAGGGCTTGACTCGGCAAACGAGCACATCCAAATGGCCTGTTCTCCTCAGACATTTTTCACTGGAATCCATCCAACCAAGAAGGGGAAGGACTCACTTTCTGGGAAGCCAAATACTCCATGCCCCGGGCCAGCTGGTAGGTGCACGACACCAGGTCCTTGAAGGCCATCTGCTCCTCGGGAACACGGCTGATGTCATAGGAATACTCCATCCCGGGTGGCCTCCGGGCGCGGAGGTATTCCCGAAGGTTGCCTTTCGAGGCGTATTCGACGATGACATAGAGCGGCCCTGTGGATGGAAAATGCGAGCTGGAGAGGCAGCGGACCCCGGAGCTGCCCTGGGGCAGCTCTGCCAAGGAGTTCTTAGTTATTACAACCCAGTGCTTTATTATTTTTTTTTAAATTTAAACATACAGAAAGGCACACACAAAAATAGAACACCTGCCTTCTAATCGCCCCCCAAATGACAACCGACACCAGGTCAAGGTGGACTCAACAGTCTTTCATAAAACAGAAATGCTTCAGTGAGTGCCCCTTTCTTGTCATGCCCCCTCTTGGAAAGCAGCGACTACCATAAATTTGCTGCTCTCATTTAATTTTAACGATTTTACAAACACATATGTATCAATAAACGACGTATTATTTTTAGCAACATCAATGAGTAATAAAGACACAGCTTTGCAACAGTTTCCCCCCACACATGATCTTTCTGGAAGCCAGTCAGGCTGATAAAAAATAGATCCAGATCATTCCGTTCAACACTTACATAGATTCTATCATATAAATAAACCATGCTGTATTTGTCCATTCCCCTGATAGGCTGTTTTCAGGTTTGGGCCATTTGCAAACGTTGTGCAATGAACACTGCAAGCTGGTGCATGACTCCTTATATACACATGCAATAATGATGTCCCTATGGCAGAGACCAGCCTGTTCTCATGTGTAAATGTTACTGGCACACAGCGAGGCCAATTCATTTCTATATTGTTTGTGGCAGCTTTCTCACTCCAGCAGTAGAGGTGGGTGGCTGCCACAAAGCCGAAAATATTTACAATAACCCTTTACAGTCTCCTGACTCCCGGTAGAGACCTCACAAGGAAATTGCCAAGGCAGAAAACAGGCATTCTAAGTTTATTGATTATCATTAAACTGGTTCCCAAAGTGACACAGATCATCTATGAGAGAAGCCAGGGTTCTCACTCCCTGGAGGAAGATAACATGTCCTTCCTGTCCATCTCCCCTCTTTAAGGCCACTCCTGGGGGCTCACCCATAGCAAGACATGGTTCCTCAATCCCATTTCAAGGGAAGAACTTGTCAACCAAAACACAGGATCTTACGTTGGTAACTCTCACTTAGCACTCACTAAACGAAAACATAACAAGATGGTCTTTTCCAAACACCCTCTAGGTTATGTCCGAAAAACAGTAGGACCCTTTAGGCCTTCCCATCCAAGGTCGCCCAACATCCACCTTTCCCCCTAGACCCCAGACATGGTCATCAGGAACACGTTCCTGAGGGGGGTTTTAAAAAGAACTTTACACACGTGCTTAGGAGGCTCTAGGAGCAAGATCTAAACATCCATATGCTTCTAAAATGACCCTGACGCTGAACCCTGGGTTACGCGAATGAATGCGTTTTTTTCCTCCTACTCACCATCCTGAGTACAGGCTCCAAGGAGATTTATGATATTTTTGTGTTTCCCAATCATCTTCATCATCTCCATCTCGGACACCAGATCAGAAAGGTCTTTCTCAGTGGCATCATCTAGAACATTAGGTAAATTACGGATCAGTTTTGCTACTATTAATTGATGAACATTTGGTTGAAACAGCATGAAACTGAGTTTCTGAACCAGAAAAGACTTTCCAAATCACCTCTCTCCTCTTACTGGTAAAGCAGGAAATGCCCAGAGAACTGCCTTCCTCCGTGTCAAACAGCTAATTTGGGGTCAATAGTGTCAAAAGTCAGGACAACTGTATACGCCTTGAACGCTAAGGCCAATTCTTTCCCAGCAAACCTCACAGATACAGGGGCATTCTTCTCTACCGTGAAATAATTCCATCCTCTGGCAGAGCGCAGGCACCTCAGAAAACCACATCAAACTTCATGGGCCTGAAAGCAACTGTGAGGACTTCTGTGGAGGAGGAGGAAAGGGAGGAGATGGGGGCATTCCATATACTTCAGACTTTTTCTGGATCACAGGCTGCTAAGCTGAGGCCTCAAAGCCCACAGGGCATTCAGAGATGGATGCAGGCAAGGGCAAAAGTCCCCGTACCAAGGACAAAAGTGTGCATGTGTGTGTGTGTGCGCGCGCACGCGCTCCTACAGCTTGAGGGGATGAAGGTTCTCGCCTTCCATGGGCTTCCCAAGGGCCTGGGATTCCCATCCTAAAATAATTGAAGTTTTAAAAACCTCTCTGCTCCATAATTTCAAACAAGAACAGGTTAGGTCCTGCATATCCTGGCTCGCAGTTAAGCTTCCAAAAACTGGCAAGATTCTTCCTCAGGTACCTGAATTGAACTAATTCAATATGGGAAAATCTGGGCTTACTCCCAAAATGAGGATAGGTCATGGATAGAAGCCATGCTGCATAAAGCTCTTTGGCTTCACAAAAGGAAGAGCAACACAAGTGCCTGGAGTGTAAATTCCACGCAGACGCCCATGGAGGAGTGCACACGTGCCCCTCAGAGGGAAAGGTTCCACTGCGCAGACACATGGGGTGCTCTCGAAGTTCCGAGATGCCCACTGGCTATTAAAACAGCCACAGCTGACGTCTGTGGTCCTCCCAGGCATCACACACAAAGTGGGGAGCAGCTCAAAAGGTCCTCGTTTTCCTAGGGAGCCATTCAGATCCAGAGCTAAGGAAATACAACCAAAAAAAACACCCAATACCTTTCCAACTATTTCTACCCTGCTCCCTCCTCTCAGGAAGAGATGCGATGACTCAAAATCCCACAAAAGAAAGAAAAAGCCTGACTCCTGGGTGTCCACAATGCGTTACACTCCCCAGCCCCCCACACACACATTCTGAGAACAGACCTCTCTGCCAGGACATGTGGGAAAAACTCTGCTTGGGGTGTCTTTTCTGAGATGCCTACAATGGGATTTATAATGTAACCGTTCCCTATAACTCCTCTCATAAAAGAATACTGTGGGAAGATGAAGTTAATGGTTAAAAGGTCTTCAGGCTCCTTGGCTGTAGGCATGAGCAGGGTTGGAAGGTTAACACAGAAATGTCCAGGCTCCCACGAACACCTCTCAACGTTTACATCTCTGGGTCATTGCTCACTCGTCCCTGAACGTGTGAGCAATTCTGTACCAGCATCAATGCCGTGAGCTTCCTTTTAGCTTCCTAAGCGACTCCCCCAGACCAGGGTCATTCCTGCTCTGTTCCTCTTGCAAAGAAGAAAGAGTGGCCTCCTCTCTCTGAGCCTTCTTGGCTCCCCCTAAAAAGGCCAACTTCCCTTTATTTGTAAACTAAGGTTTGTATTCTGTATCCAAGGTACCAACACTCATCTAAATTAATCAATTCTATGTGAGTTAATGCTTTCTAAGCATTTCCAAATATAAAGGGAATAAGCTACCACTTTCTAAAAGAACTGGCTTTTCTTTTTAATAAGTGCACACTGCTCAAGATAAATAGTCTGTCCGAGATGCTGATTTATACTGAAAACTTCTCAACCCCTAGGTCAACTATGTGCTCTTTGACCCCATGCCATGATAGAGTTCACACAAAAGGAACATTCTTGATAAGGCGACCCCCTCTCCTCCCTCCCCACACCACCCCCCTCACCTTTCAACATCTTCACGGCCACAGTGACTGCTTCCTTGGGCTTCTCCTTGTCAATTCCCACTGCTTCAGCCATGACCACTTGCCCAAAGCAACCTTCTCCCAGGGGTTTGCCTAGCGTCAGCCTGAATGTGTAAAGAGAGGATTAGTACACAGCATCTGGTACAGTGAGGGAAATTCCAGAACTCAATATAAAAATCTTTCAGCAGCTTACAAAAGCATGGAGCATTTATCATATGGAACTAATGAGACTTGGGGAACACACGCGCTTGAGTATTTTCTTAGTGACGTTTTAGGGAGTGTCAGTGACTGCTGGAACAACTATTGAATGTCACATTTGTATTCTTGATTTATTTTCTTTAAGGAAAATATCCTTGCGAGTCAGGTGGTCAACTTTCCTAAGTGCTAATGAGGAGAAGCTTTGATCTCAAGCCCATTGAATATTTGTAATTTAGAATGTCTCAAAAAATACCGTTAAACTTTTTATTTTTTTTTTGTCTCTGTGAAGTGATGTCTTTAAAAATCACTATTATTTAAATACCAATGGACTTTATGGTCACATTCTGGGCCAAGTTACAAGATATGAATCTTAAATGCATTTCAAGGAATCTCTGTTTTTTCATTAAAGGAAAAAGAAAACTCTAGAGAGAGGGGGGTTTTTCTGACATATTAGTTTAGAAATCCTTATGACTACCCAAAATTAATAATGAAAAAATCCAAAGTGAACACAACAAACTAAATTTCTAAGGTCAGAAGTGCTACATGCATCATGCTAAAAGCTATATAGACTCCTTGGACTTTCCAAAAACCAACAGAATGGAAGAGACTTTGGAATACTTACAAATGTGGTTTTTTCATTTACGTATAACACAGCAAAGTACTGAGCTGTCACTAGTAAGCAGTATTTTTGGTAAGTACGCAATGGTTTGAAAAAGTTAAAGCAAAGACCAAGGGTAGCTGGTGCTATGCTGAGGTCATTCCCTTCCTACCCTGAGCTAAAATTAAATGTAATATCTTGGCAGAAAATAAACATTTGCGTTGGAAAAATGGCTAATTTATGTCCTATTGCCCTGCTCCTACAAACATAACAATCCTTTCTTTGTACAACGTCTGCCTCCAATCTAACAAACTGCTTCTAAATAGCCTTCATTCATTGGAAATCTGCTCCACCTATGGTTGTGCTAAACACTATTTTGAAATGCTTAGCACTCAGATTTTCCGCACTCAGGGTACTCCGGGTGGGAGCTGACAGACTCCCACTGTTGCCGGTGGTGTCACAAGTGGCAAAAGCTATGGCTTGAATGTGGGAGCTGCAATTTCTTAAAATATGATCACAGCTCCCCAACTCAGTCCTATATCCATAGGAATGTGCACAAGAACCCACCAACTTGTTTAGTCAAGCCCTGGCTCATGAGAAACACCCTTCTCACACTCCACAGGTGAAGAAATCATTCTTTGCTTTTTTCTGGTGCCTCACTGGTAGGAATGCAGTAAACAAGTCCTGAATGAATGAATGAACAGCACACAAACAAACTGGAAGTCACTTCCGTTAACGCTAACAAAATGATACCGGTACAATAATTTGGCTCTAATTTATGGCATATATTAATATCTCTAAATGAGCTGTTAGGAAACAAAGCCGGTTGGAGTTGTGTGAGTCAAGGTTATAAGTGCCATGTAAGCTACCTCTCCTTCCAAAGCAAGGCTCCTCATCACATCCAATCTCTGAAAAAGCTTATCTTTGTATTTCCAAATCTGTCCATGAGTTCCTTCTCTAGTCATTAGACACTTCTCTGACATAATCTCAAGAAGACAGTGCAAATATCAAGACTAATAGGGTAGCTGTACATAAGCAAGTCAAAAGCTTATTCCAGTTGATTCGATGCAGATGTGGAGTCAGCAGTTTCTACCTTCCATTACTCTCAAGCTGCTTAGACTCTAATCACTACAAAAGAGACCCTGGAAATGAGCTGACAGCCCTTCAATGACCATCATATTCACTTCAGAAGGTAAACCTGGGGGCTGGCCCCTGGCTGGAAGATGGAGGGCTGGTAGCCCAAGATCTGTCCACTGGGTAGATGCCCATCTTGCTGAGATTTGAAGTTCAGATCTCACCAGTTATGAAGGGAAATTCACACGAGCCAAGAATTGTGCTCAGTTCTGGGAGGTCTGTACTATGACCTTCATTTTATAGAAATGAAGTTCAAAAAGAATCAGGTAACCCATACAAGGTTGCCCAGCCACTGGCTGGCATAGCCAGGATTCAAATCCAGCCCAAGAGAATCCAAAGTCCATGAACTTGAAGCCAGACCAAGAAATATACAGCTCTTAATAATGCCTTCACCAGAGCCCAGGTGGCCACACTTGGACTGATCTTATTGGAAGACCTCTATTATCACCCAATAAGGAAAATATTATGGACCATAAGAAATTCAATGGCAGGTATCATATTTGAAGATTTTCAGCCCAGTATTATATCAATAACTATTAAAAACAGTACGGTTGGGTGAAGATTCTTAAGGCAATTTATATTCTATATCTAATCTCTCTAAAGAAATGAACCATAGGACAGTCATGTTCTAGGAACCAGAAGTTAGAATGTCAATTCTGTTTTATAAATGGGATAATCCCACTTATATTCCACTTGACTGGATCTAAATTATCTAGAAAGTAAAAAAAAAAAAAGAAAGAAATACTAACAAGGTACCATTTTGTTTGGGGACCAGCCATGGCTCAGTAGCTCTGCTTTAAAAGAACTATTAAAAAAGAGCCCATGAGAGAATCAGTTCTTTGTTTTTCCTGGAGTTGGTTATTTAGAAATACAATCTTACCCATTCTGGTTGACGTCATCACAACAAGACTTTGGCAGTTAAGGGTCATAAACAGAAAACATCAACCCCATGTCCCCATTTATACGTTAAGTCTTCATTGGGAGATATGTCCCCGCTCATACTCACTTATCTCTCGGAAACTCCCATTTGGGATCTTCTGGCAGCTCGTACTCAGAGACCCCCGCCAGCATGGGGGTGTCTGCAGTTGAAGAGAGGCGAGTTGTAATCCTCACCAGTGGGGTGTTGGAGTTCATGGAGGAGCTGGACTCAGCAGAAACCTGGATACAAAATGCAAAGACACAGATGTAATCCTGGCTCCACCTGAGAAGACTGGGAGCCGGCCAGAGCCCAGCCAGTGGTCAGCTCTTAGAAAGCAAGGAGAGGCTGGGTTGGCCAAAGTCATTAATTTAGGACCAAACATTTAGGAGCTGGATTCCAACTCCTCGGTCTTCCTATCCAGGCAGTATGTGCTAGATTTCATCCAACTTGTATGTTCCTAAAACCAGACTTCCAAACAACATTTCTTAGACATTGCTTGAATTAAAAAAAAAAAAAAAGTCTTCTTTCTGCCCTAAACCCTCGGTGTATCATCTGAGGACACAGAGCTAGACCCCCACAGGCTTCATTCTTGTCTTTTTGCCTGGGCTTGCAGCAGAGCCCCAGATTAGCAATCTCCTCCTGGCATACCAGCTCAGATTGTGAATCAATGCTACGCTTATGAAATTCCACAAAAACTAGAAAATCGGCTCTTCAATCAGCTCTATCTTTTGAAATGTAAAGGAGAATACGTCAAGGATCTAGCTCTAGGATTTGAATGTGAAAAGCATTCTGGAAGCAATAAGTGCCTTTATTCAAGGGTAACCAGAGACCCAGGCATTGGGGACCACTGTCTACTTCTTCCCCATTCCTTCTGAGAACCAGTTGATGATCAGGTCAACTTTGGTTTCAGAAACTAGTAAACGAAGAGTCAAGGGAAGAAAAATACCTCTTTATTCACAATCTTGTGGGAAAGCTCCCTTCCCCATCTCCCATCCCCCAGCAGACCGCAGGCTTTACTGAGTTTTCTCAGTTTACGCTCATTCATTACAGTCTGCATTTGAAAAAATGGTTACTTCTCAAATATATCATCTTCCCTGCGCTGGTTTCTGTAAAGGAAAATACCACTACGGGCTGCCTGACCATCACTTTATTCTAAACCATGAACAAGACCGGCCGAAGAGAACTGGAATCGGGTTTGACGTGATCCCTCAAACGTGGTTCTGTACCCTACATGACTCTCACATCAACCCTTCTCCCCAGCAGTGCTTACAAACATTTTTAAAATCAAGGTGGCAAGGACCAAGATGAACAAACTTAATGAGGATAAACTTTCAAGGTAGAGCCTAGACCATTCCCACAGGGAACCAGAAGACTTCCCAGGGAATGTCCTACTTAAAAAACCTTGACTCTCTGCTTCTTAAACCCAGACTGCCCTTAAAAAGCAGGTAGGAAACCTGAGAGGATGTCCAAAAATGTATTAGGGGGTGAGGATCATTTCAGGAATAGGAAATTGGTATTAGTATTACTTATAATAGCAAGAAGAAGGTAATTTTTAACACAGAATTTCTATTATCTTTTTTAATGTACATGAAAACATTTCTGAGCCTTCTGAGCAGTCTTTTGTCAAAGGGAATCATGCTTACATTTTATTATGTAGACTCTATGATCAAGGTTTACTCACTATGAGCATAGTAAACATATATATGTGTGTGTGTGTGTGTGTGTGTGTATTTAATGATATACATATTTTAAAGGAACTGAGCGGTCATTAGTTTTGGAGCTGAGAGGGGCCTCGTGGACAGATAAAGCTCTAAGAGGCTTCACACCTAAGTGTCTGGGCCACAGAGGCAAAGAGCAGAAGCAAAAAGACGAAAAGGTTAAAAAAAAAAAAAGACAAAGGTAAACATGAAAAGCCTGCAGAATCTACCTCCGCAGCACGCTGACCTCAGCTGCAGGGCCCACCAGTAACACCATCTCTGCAGCCTCCACTGACCCCATATATGTCTTGAGCTCCATCTGCAGAGAAGGGCTCAGAGAGATTTCAAGGAACAGGTTTGGGTAAAAACATTTCCCCAAATCCTAACACCCCGAATCAGGTCGTGAGCTATGGATGCCAAAGGAAATGGGTGTTCACAAACAAAATGGTCTCCCACGTGAAGAAGCATAAATCACCACTCATCACGGTCGGAACCGGGCTTGAAGATCACAGCCAGAAGACTGGGAAGAGCAGTCATAGTTAGTCTGGCCCCAGCTGGACGAGGTCTGGCAGAGTCCATAGCCAGAACACCCTCTCCAAGGCCAGCAGTGGAGCCCTGCTCACTGGACCGCAGGGTTCCTAGAACCCCTGTGCAGAGTGTGCAGGGAACCTGGAGATGGAAAAACCCCTGGGGCGGTGATGGGGGGGAGCAGCTCTGGGTGAGGAGGCCCGGCCCGCCTCCTCTGGCATCGGTGAGGTTTCAGGACATAGTGAGCGGGGGCCACCTTCCCACACTAGGTCAGAGGACACAGGCACTGAAAACAAGTCTCAGAAAGGAGCTGTGAGAGCCTTGTCACCTTCCGGGAGATAGGTTAGAAGTTGACGAGGGAGGGGGTGGAATATGTCTTATTTCAGAACCTTCTAAAGCATTTTAATTTGATTACCATGCATATGTATCTCTTTTACATTCTAGAAAAACATAGAACTTTCCCTTAATGACAGAAATATTTTTAAGAATGAGAAGGATCTGGGCTGAGGCATGTCATGGGCAGGAGTGGAGTGGGGGGCATGGAACATGGGGCTATTCTTGAAATATACTGACATCTAAAATAAGTCAAAAATGACGAGATCTTGGCTCTCATCTCTTCCCTGGGCTATAGGCTGGGTGTTGGGGCATCTCTGCTTCCTTCCAGGTGGGTCCCCAGTGACTCCCTCAGACTAGCTGGTGCCACCAATCCGAGCTGGCATCCTTCCCCTGCGAACTGTTTACAATGTGGGACCCCGAGTGGGGATGGAGTGGTCCCACCTGAGCCAAGTGCACCACTGCAAGCTGCAGGGTCCCTATTCCAACACTGAGAGCTTCAGCTAGTCACTTGACCTTCCTAAACTCAAGTCTCCTCATCTGTTAAAAGGAGGCCAGTCCAAAGAGATCCAACCAGTCCATCCTAAAGGAAATCAGTCCTGAATATTCATTGGAAGGACTGATGCTGAAGCTGAAATTCCAATACTTTGGCCACCTGATGTGAAGAACTGACTCATTGGAAAAGACTCTGATGCTGGGCAAGATTGAAGGTGGGAGGAGAAGGGGAAGACAGAGGATGAGATGGTTGGATGGCATCACCAATTCAATGGACATAAGTTTGAGCAAGCTCCAGGAGTTGGTGAAGGACAGGGAAGCCTGGCATGCTGCAGTCCACGGGGTCACAAAGAGTTGGACACAACTGAGTGACTGAACTGAACTGAGAACAGCTCCCATGTCACTGAATTACTGTGAGGGTAAAATGAGGTCATACCCATAAATCGTTTAGCCTGGCACCTGCTAAGAGTTCAGTTTTGCTACCAACACCAAAATGGCTTCTCTTAGCATCTTCTGCATTTTTGGCTGCACCCCAGTGTATACGGGAACTTAGTTACCTGACCAGGGACCAGACCCATGCCCCCTGCATTGGAAGGCGGTGTCTTAACCACTGGACCACCAGGGAGGCCCCTCAGCATCTTTTTAGAGTCATTTGCTGCTCAGATTCATGGGAGTTTATGATGACCCCTCCCTCTGGGGAAGCCTGCAGACTTGGAGCCTAGCGCTGTTCTGTGTGAGAGATGCTGTCTGTCAGACGGTGTGCAGTAGGGCAGAAAGCAATTCCACTGGCATTAAGGGTAGGATTTGCCTTAATGGTTTGAAAGATGAGACCCTCTGCTCACAACAAGGGTGGGTGGGTAAGGGCTGGAGGGGTCCGGTGGGCAGAAGAGCAAGCCTCAGAAATTAAGGAGTCAGGGGACAGTCCCAGGGCAGGAGGAGAGCTGGAGAGATAAGAAAGTCCTCATGACAAATAGGGCTTAGTGGCTGCCTCAGAAAGAAAAACGAAGCATTCAGTCAGAAGTTAACTGCTCCGCGGCTAACCTGTGACCCCAGAGGAATCTTTGCCCACAAACCCGTGACAAGAGTTCACACCCATACACATCTTCTCCCACAGACAGAGTGTCTCTCACAAGGTTTTAATGCACAAGCTTTGAAAATGGAAAACCTTCCCCAACTTTGTTGCTGTCACTAGAAGGAAGGTTATGGAAACTTTGTTCAGATTAAGGGCAGAGGTTTAGATTCCATGGACAGATCTGGAAGATACTTCTGTTAAAACAAAACAAAAATAAAACATACACAAAGAGAAAAAAAGAGAAGAAAATGTCCCGAGTGGAACAATCGACAGAATTCAATCCCTCTGTCTACGGAAGGTATATCATAATTTTACCTCCATGCATTTTACTATGCTTTTAAAATCCCCTCTGGGACTGTAAAACATGACTGGCTTTCTCTTCACTCCGTCTTACTCCAAGCGCTAACGTGTTTGCAGGGCTGGCCCAATCCCTTGCAGGCAATTCCTCTGAGGAACGCCGTGTTTCTGGAGCTTCTCTCTTCTGGACCACATTCTTCAAGGAATTCCACTGAATTTCACTCCCGAATCCTGCTTCTGCAACATAGGTAATCACTCTTTTTTTGGGAGGGGGCACAAAATCAAAATCTTCCCTCTCAGATATGCTCCTTCAATTCCAGGTTTCCTTTTCCTCTAATTTTGAAATATCCCATTGATAGTGATCACTGAGTTACTTAAAACAACAAACACTAACACTCTAAAATAAGCTGTTTCCACTCCCAAATCCTGGCAGGCCCTTTTCTATCATGTTTTGCCACAGTCTCCACTCAGCTTCCTCACTCTCCGGAATCTCTTTACCATAAATTCCTCATGCCATAAATCAAGCTTTTAACTAAATGTGCTTTTTCTCCTATTTCCACAGCACATAAAGGAGATTAGGTAAGGAAGTGAGTTTTTTTTTTCCTTTTCTTTTTAAAGGGCCACCAAGAGATTGTGTTGTCCTTTAATACTAGATTCGATTCATCAACGAGAGGGGGGCCCGCAGAGAACAGGGCAGACAGAGGTATAAATGCCACGAGAAGGAGGACTCACACATGGACCACAGCCAGCCAGAGAAACCCTCTGATGCTCAGTCCATGGATCCACATTCTCAAACCAGAGCATGAGACCCCAGAGCTAACACAGTGATGTTATAAACACCGCCTATCACTTCCCAATAGCAAACAAACTGCCTTCACCACCTAGAGCTGGTGGTTGAAATAAAGGTTCAAGGGATGGGGGAGGGGAGGATTTTTTTCTTCTTCCATGACAAATTTTAGGTAAACAGGCAGGGGAACTGATTTGACACTTACTTTCCTCCTTCAGCAAGTCTCTGCATCCCCAAACCTCCCCAGAGAGAAAACCTATCAAACCCCGACCGGTCTCATCAGCCCAAACCCAGGACTGATCTTAGCCGAACTTCGTGTCTTCTGGAAGCTGAGGGGAGAGAACGGCCAAGTGGGGGCTGGGAGGGCCAGGCGCCCACACGCAAGGGCAAATTCCAGTTAAGCCATCCATGACCATCCAATTACCCACATGCTTTCTGGAACCAGCCACGTTCCATTAGACCACTTGAATGACCAAAATACAGAGAATGTTCCGAGATCACGCTGTTTAGCCGATTGGCAGCAAATGAGCTTCTAGATGTGGGCCTGCCCTTCATAAAATGCAGTGGGTTTTGTAACAGTGTCCCCAGAACTGGCTCCTGAACCACACAGGTCATTTTTGTCCCATTCATGATGCCCCTGGGAATGTGTCCTTTGCCTCAAAGATACTGTTATAAAACATCACCTTGACTGACCTTGATTTTTCTCTGGTTTTCAATCTATGAGGGCAAAATTAAAATCTGGGGAAAGAAAAAAACAAAAACCAAAAAACCAACCCTGCCACCCCGTCCTGAGATGCTGGTGGTGAGATAGCATGAGGTACATGCATGTGTGGGGTTATCTGCTGATGCAAGTGTATCTCCATCCCACCCAATGGAAGAGTCTGGCTCTAGAAAAAGAACTGGATGTGATCACTGAGAAACCAATTCAACAAACCCAGTAATGCTGCCTACCTCCTGAACAAACAACTCACTTCCTTTCACACCTCTTCCAGCCCCCACAGAACTAATGTGTGCAATACACAAAGTACAGCCCACCCGGAAACTCATGGATGTGTCAGGAAGACTTCCCAATGGCCACACCACCCACTAGCAGCCCTGGAGATCTGTTCAAGAGCCAACAGGCTCCGTCATACACCCCTCCCTGGGCTGGCTCTTGCTGGTCCCCTTGTCTGAGCCCCAGCTCAGAACATGGAAGGATCCCTGTCAAAGGAAACAGGGAGACACCCTACACCACCCACCTCCCCTACCGAAAAGTTATTTCACTTTCCCCAAACATCAGAATGCATAAAGAGCCTCAACAACCTCATTGTTACCAGGAAATGATCTTCTTTGGTACCAGAGAAAAATATTTTTGTGTCAAAAACTAATAACAAGCTCATATGTTGCTCTTACACTGGTAAGTCCAGTACATATTAGTAAATGTCAACAAAAAAATTCACAATAGGATAAAACAATTATTTTTTAAAACTTTTATTCTAAAAAGGGAGCAACGATGGATCTAGTGAGATGTGGTCTGTGCATGTCTGGGGAGGGGCAAGGATCAGGGCCAAGAATATGAAATTCCAGGCACATGCAGGACAGCAAGTGCCTAGGAAATACCAAGGAACAGGCCATCCCCAAGACATCTAATTACAGCTCACCTGTCGCCAGGTAAAGGCATGCCTGGCATCCCTGTGGTATGCTCTCTGTCATCAACGTATCTGCAAGCCTTTCTGGGGCTTTTCATTCCAGCCACAGTCCAATAACCCTCTTTTATCCAGGTATCTGATAAGCATTCTTCCACCAAAGGGGCCATGCTTATTATGGACGAATGGCTCTTTGTGAAGAATCAGCAGGTCCCACATGTGCAGCTGAGATGTGTCAACATCCCCCCAAATAAACGCCCAGAGATTTGTTTTTCCAGGGGACTGGTACCTGCCCACTTTTGACTGCTTCTCTTACACTATTTGACCCTACTGAAACACAAGGCCATTGCATCCCAAATGAAGGCCCCCAAATAACTCTGGAGCCATTGGCAAAGGCCACAGGCCATGTCTTTCATGAAACCTGTGTTAGACTAAGCACTCAGAAAATTAAGAAGGAAGGAGGGGCTGGAGGGATAAACAAGGAGGAAGATCTGGAATGCTGCTTTCAGTTACACATAGGGAAGGACAGGAAAAAGGACCAACTTAGACTGAGACAGACAAAGAAGAAACACCAGTCAGCCAGAGAGAAATACAGCACGAAGACCAGAGTTGAATCAAGGGGATTTTAAAGGCATCTGCTTCTTCTATATTAAATAAAAAGAAGAGTACTGTAACAGCTGCAGGAAAAAAAAAAAAAAAAGCATGATGAAATAATTACAGGACAATGGTCTAGCTACACCAAATTAAAAGTTTCCTCCAAAAGGTAGCATTTTTCCCTATTAGAAAAAAAATATAGAGATGGGATTACCACTCCCTCTTTCAAGTCCCTAGAGTCAGGCTCTCAAGATGGTAGCTGTAAAAATGGTCCAAATGGCTATAAAAATGGTCCTGCGGGTCAGGCTGGAGTGGCCACACCACCCGAGGGTCACTGAAGATACCATGTTCTAAGAGTCATCTTAAGACTGGACTCTCCCAGAGTCAGCCAAGTGGCCTCATCATGAATTCTCTGGCCCCAAGAAAGATATGCTCAGTCGCTTCAGCTGTGTCCAACTCTTTGCGACCCCATGGACTGTAGCCCACCAGGCTCCTCTGTTCCTGGAATTCTCCAGGAAAGAATACTGGAATGGATTGCCATGCCCTCCTCCAGGGGATCTTCCCCACCCAGGGATCAAACCTGCATCTCCTGCATTGCAGGCGGATTCTTTACCGATGAATCACCAGGGAAGCCCCGAGAAAAACCATGTACCACTTTAACAAAACAGCATTCTTGGAGGCAGGGGGAACCAACAACATCTTTCTCCCCTGCCTCACCCTGCTGCTACTCTTAACACCATGTGGGCACTGCTCTGCACTTGACACACACTCCAAACGCTACACTCAGCCTCCACTTTTTTTAAGCCTCCATCTAGAAAGACCTGCTTGAAACAGAGATTCAAAGAAGTCAACAAGGACCCATTCAGCCCAGAGTTCGGAGCTGGGCTAAGAACAGCCACATCTGTGCCAAAACCACTGCTGACCAACTGGTTCCTAATGTTTCCTAACGCCTTGTCCAGAAAATATCATTGCCACCTGCCGTCCCAGGATGGGTAAGGCTGGGATTAATCCAGAGTTTCTCAGAGTGCATTTCAGAACCATCTGAGGACTTACTTAAAATGTAGATTCCTGGTCCTCTTCAAAACCTACTCAACCAGAATCTCTGGGGCTGCAACTATGGAATCTACAATTTTAACAAGTGTCCTGTACACACTGAGTTAGAGCCTCTGAGTTAGACATTTTACTTACTGTTTCAAAAATCATGTCTTTATTGGAACCAAGTACTAAATACTTTTGGAAACACTGCCTTCACACCTGCCTTCCCCTTCCATCTTCGTGAGCACGTCCAGCCCCACCAGCTTTGCCAGGCTTTGGTCCCATCTGCCCGAAGCAAAAGTAAAGCCACCAGGAGGCATAGATGAGCGAAAAAGAACCAACAAGACTAAGGTTAACAAGCTCGAGGTTAACAAAAACTAGTTGCCCGTTCAATATAAAAATCATTCTGCCACCAAATCCACAGTCATGTTCATGTGAACACCTAATCATAACATATTACAGGCATATGTGTGGATGCATGCTCAGTCATGTGACCCCATGGACTGCAGCCTGCCAGGTTCCTCTGTCCGTGGGATTTTCCTGGCAAGAATACTGGAGTGGGTTGCCATTTCCTCCTCCAGGGGATCTTCCTGACTCAGGCATGGAACCTGCATCTCCTGCATTGCAGACAGATTCTTTACCACTGAGCCACTGGGGGAAATATAGGATCCTATTTTAAGAATCAGAGGTGGAAGCCAAATCCAGTTAAGACAGACCTCATGGGGTAGTAGTTCAGACACCTCTAGGCACAGGTTTCTGACCTTGACTTCAAAAAAAGTAAGTCCAAGAAAACCAGAATATCTTCCTTCCCAACAGGCATCAGTCTATCGCCAAAAAAAGCATTTGATCACAAGGACAAAGAGGGCTATGCCATTGCACTTGAGTCCCACCCAAAGGCACCAGGGTGCTGCCTCTTGGGTTATTTCCAGTCCTGCAGATGAGCTCGGAGTCTCGCACCACTGGGCTTTCTCACCCTCAGAACTAGACTCAGCTGACCCCACCAATGCACCAGGACTTGACCTTCCAAGCTCCAGACACTGATCTGACGGGTGCCCACTAAGAGGCCAGTTAGAACCACTGGCTCAGGGATGCTCCCAAAAGTAGAAGCACAGAAGCAGAGGAAGAGACCTAAGAGCTGGCTGGGCGTGGGGAAGCGGTAAAGTTCTTCAAACTCTTTATCTACTTTCTGTTACCTGTCTCCGTAGGGGGATGCGCTTGGTCAGCTTGTGCACAGCCGGTTGGCTGCTGAAGTCCGGCTTCTTGGTCGTGTTCCTCATCCGGCACAGGATGACCGTCACCACCATGCAGGCGATGAAGAACACCCCTATGCAGTAAATGGCTATTTCCAGGTAGTCTGGGGAAGCTGTGATCTCCTTTTCTCTTACAGGAGCTAGATTGCAGATCACAGGGGAGGAACAGATAAGCAGGCCACAGAGTTAGGACACTGCACTGATGCTTACTGGCATAACTACAGGAAATCAAAAGGCGACAATCATTCCCAAGGCAAGATGGGCCTCCCAACAGCTCAGCGCTGCAGGAGGCATGGGCTCTGGGCCTGCTGTGCATGTCTTCTAAACTCTGGGCTCCTTGATTTACCACTGGGGCCCAGGTGGTCTCTTATCACTATCCTCAACGGACCTCTGGAATCCTGAGATCATGATGGATTGGTTGACACCAAGGTATGAGGGTCAGGTTACAAGGTCACATTCTGTTAAGACATTTGGGTAAGGTAGGATGGTCACCCACACCCATGACAAAAGGGCTGCCTTCTTCCTTGATGGTCTCTGATGCAAACCACTTAAAAATTCTTAAATATGAATGATGCCCACTTCTGTCTCTAAAGGAACAGTGCCTCTATCTTATTTGGGTAAGCTCTTCCAAAGGAATATGTGACCAAGTCATTTACCCAGATGAACACAGTTTCAAAGGAAACAAAAAAAAAATTCATCTACTGGGCTGGTCGGAAAAGGTTCAGGTTTCTAAAGATAGTCCAGTAGATTATTTAACTAAACAAACAAATACATTTAATATAAAGACTGAATTGGTTATACTACAGAATCATTATGTCCATATGATAAAAAGTATGTAACATTCTTTAATCAATAACCATTTAAGTTTTTGTGTATCTTGTTACACTCGTGTCATAACTTTTAAAGAACAAATAGAGATGATGTCACATATGAGGACATATAAAACTGCTTAAGTTAGAAACGCTTACACTAACTTCCAACTTCCAATAATCTGCTCCCTCCTTAGTCCTCAATGATCAATCGACAAGCAGTGTATTTCCAAATAGTACTTTTCTCAAACTGCATTCTTAGTTAATATGCTCGTACTGTCAGGCAAATCGGTCAAGAAGTGCCAGTTGGGCACTTGCAAAATGCAGTACTGCAAGTAAAAGCAAGCTCAATACAAGAGGCATCACACTGTCTCAAAGCAAATACTCAGAGCAGATTCACAACAAAAGGAAAAAATGAATGCAATGGCATTATTTAAAGCTTATACATTTGAGTCAGAAAACTATTTGCAAGATAGTCAAAACTCTCAGCAGCACAGCACAAAATGAAATGATCAATTTATTTTTGCTAGATATAAAATAAGCATGCAGGTAGGCACCAAACTCTAAATATAAGGAATTAATAACTGGAGTGGAACATTATGAGCTGGCAAACCATAGTCTATGCAGTTTCACAAAGGAAATGACAAACAGACGGATGTATTAAAGAAGATAGCAGTTAAGACTTGACTAGGGTAGAGATGTCAGTTAAAAGATTTAGACAGCGGCAGTGTTTAGGCAAGAGGGCTTCAGTGATGTTGATTTCTCTGTAGGATGGAAATAACATCAAGCCCAAGATGGCAAGAGCATGCTTTGCAGTAAAAGCCTAAGAGTTTGTTCCATTACATCATGCAGCAAGCCACCGATCCCCAAGTAGATAACACACTGCTTCTGAACACCCTACACACAGAGGTGTTTCTGCCCAGGAGCCTCGACATACACCCATCTATTTCCATCTCATTAAAAACAGAAAAGTGGAACAAAAAAAATTTTTTTAAGTACATTTGGGATTTTAACAAAATGGAATTTGAAATGAGAAAAATTACTTTGAATTTTACAGAGTGATTTCAACTTCTTCCTTAAAAGAAACGGGGATGGGTGAATTTATACATTGACTCAATAACTCACTAAAAACATAAGATCTCTTGGGGTTTGAAGGGTAAAATTTCACTTGATCATAAATAAATGCGAGGGTGGGATCTCATTGCAAGTGAATTTCCAAGGCAACTTTCTTATCCCAGGGGGATAATTTTAAACATTTTAAAAAATCTTTATGTGAGGGGAAAAGGGGTCATTCCTGAGAACAGAAGCTGTGTTAATTTCATAGCAATCAACCAAGAAGAGGGAAAAAACCATGGAGAGAAAGAGCAGTATATACCTGGCAGAACTGTCAACCATGCAGAGTGAAAGGATATCCCAATAGAATTACCCGCCAAGCACGTATATTCCCCAGCATCCTCAAAAGTTACATTCCGAATATAGAGAACCTCAATTTCTTTGTCCGTGGTATTAACACCGGCGGCCTAGAAAACAAGGAAAGCAAGAGAAAAGGCTAGACGACACAGGAATGATTGTGGAGGGGGCCATGGAACCACGAGGCATTGCACCGGGACCTCCAGCGGGTACCGGCCACCGGAAGATTCCAATCGCAGCCCATCCACAAAGCCCGCAACCAAGAGACGCTGAGCAACATGGAGCAGCTCACCTCCACAGGCCCGTCACCACACCGGCGTCACCACCTAGACAGACATGCATGCGATCAAAGGCATGGAAAAATCAACCCACAGAACGCCATTCTCGGGGTCTCCGCTTGCTTGCTTTGGATGGAGGAGTGATTTTCCAAAAGTAGGGCACCCAGAAGTCCAAGCTGGGTTCTGGTCCTGTTGGCTGCAGACCCCCACCTTGAAAAAAGGATGGCTCTGTCTAAACTGTTGTATTGCAAGACAGCACACCGCAGGTAAGTCCAAGTGGATACTTGGCATATCCTTCCAGGCCTGTGAGAACCACCAAGATGGGGTTCTGTGTTGGTTACCAGGCGCTGTTAACTTTTATTCCTTCACATACATTGCATTAAAAGAAAATGGAAGAAAGCATGATATTGATAGCAAAGAAACCGGGCTTTTTTTTTTTTTTTGCAACAAAAACATTTGCATGTGAATCATGACAAATTGGTGGCTCAGACAATAAAGAATCTGCCTGCAATGTAGGAGACCTGGGTTCGATCCCTGGGTTAGGAAGATCCCCTGGAGAAGGGAATGGCTACCCACTCCAGTATTCTTGCCTGGATAATTCCACAGAGGAGCCTGGTGGACTACAGTCCATGGTGTTGCAGAGTCAGACATGACTGACTCATATCACTTTCATATGAAAAACTGAGAAAGGCAAACTGCTGTCTTCAATAGCCAGTCAGCAGTACATTTATTCACTGAGATGGAATATCCTTGAACTTAGGATAACAAGGTCAAGGACAGTATTCTGTAAGTATCAATTAGGTAACAGAGAAAACGGTGCTCTGTTGAACCAATGATATTGTGCCAATATTTCTCTAAAACTCTGGGTCTGAGGAGGCATCAAATTCTGCTATTATGCAAATGCCACAAATGCAACAGGCACACCGGTGTGTGTCTGCAACAGTGCTGACATGCAATAATGATGGGAGATGTGCAGCCTGAACAAGATAAACCAGAAGGAACAACTTCAAAACTGGGTGGGGGGCGAAGGGCAATCTTCAAAAGAAATTAGAGCAAGCGCTTTGAACATGTGTGGGTATTTTTCCATGGCTGCTGGCATCCTACCAGCTGCATCACGGAAGAAAGATTATGATGAATATACCAAGACCACAGAATCACCCTATAAGCTGCTTGCAATCTCCCAAAGCACCAGGTCTTTTCAGCTTCTATATCCAGCCTTCTTTAAAAAAAAAAAAAAAACCAAACAAAAACGTTGTTACCTTGCTGTTTTGGCAGGACAGTGAGCCAGGCAGACTGGTTGGCCTGCCCTATATAATTGGAGACCTTACAAATATACTCCCCAGCATCCGCCTCAGTCACATTGAACAGAGCCAGCACTTCTGCATTGGAACTATTTATCCCCGAGTGCTGGAATAGACACAGGAGAACAATATAACGGCCAACCCGGAAGGACTTCACAAGGTCCCACCACCAACACACCACCAAAAAACCACCTCCATCTCATCTAAACAGCAGCATCAAAGGGCTGTGGGTTTAGAAGGAAGAAAAATAAGTCAACTGGTGGACAGTGGAAATGACCCAGTGGAGAAGGGAGGGAGGGTGTAATCAATTCCCTTGAAGAAAGGGCCCACAGTTCCCCAAACTGATCATCTCTTTCCAGCTTTTTGCCTCCTGGGGGTTTGCAGCTGGAGAGCATACTTGAGCGGGTTAATGTTCTGAACTGAGCCACCTATGGTTCTGGAAGACTGTTCTTCTTAAGGACATTCTCTATGAGCAACTCAGTGTGGGAGAAATGTCAGGCAGCATGGTCAGAAGTATTTGTGCAGACTCAGCTACCTGTTGCTATCACCATCCTGAAGAGCAAGACAGATCTAAAAAATAAAGAGGCTGGTGCTATTAAAACTGGGTCTTGCAAGCAACCGAAGAAGAACTACACGGGGAAAGAAGGTTTCCTTGTTCTACATTTCACACAGGCAGAAATACCTTCTCAAGTTTGGCATCTAAACCACGTGTGAAAGAATTTCAAACGCTAAGGGATTTCTTTTAAAAGGAAAATCTAAATTGTTTCTAAAAGGTGGCTACTAAAATCTGATCCTAACATCATATTAAGAGAAAACAACATCAGTGGAACAATAAACGTTGCTACAACACCTAAAGTTTATAACGCTCTTTCCAGCTACTCCAATCCATTGATCTGCACAACGCCCTGTAGGGGAGATATTATCACGATCCCCACTTTTATAGATGTGCAGCTAAGCCTAAACATCTCATCTAAGATCTCTGGGCTGATAAACAGCTCAACTATTCTGACTCCAACTTTGGTAGTCCTCCCACTGCCCCACGGCTCCCTTCTGAGATTTTATTAGCAAGCCTAATGATCTGCTAATTCTCAAACACACTCTGTACTGAACACATACACGAGTCATCTTCTCTCAAATTCAAAAGGAAATCAAAGAACTTGTGGCCAAACTCATAAGGGGAAACCCAGTCATGGGTATCTTTGGATTCAGAACTTGCTCACCTTCAGAACCTTGAGATAGGGCAGCCCGTCGGGCCCATATTTACTGCCATTCTTTTCCACGTGTTTGATCCACTGGATATGGGGCTGGGCATCGCTGTACACTTTGCAGACAAACTCCACATCACCTCCAACCACGGTGGAGGCATTTGCCGGCAGCCCAGCTTGAAGGATGGGCCGGTGTGGTGATCGCTCTGGTGGAGACACAGAAGGAAGGGGGAGCGGGGACGGGACACGGAGAGATGAACAAATAAGTCGTGTTGTCCAGAAGGCTGCTAGTGAACTCAAGCCAAAAAGGCCTCGAGTCTGCTGGCTGACTCTTTTGAAATAACACCACAGCCCGATGCATAACAAAAAACGACTTCAAAGGAGATGGCTGGAGCACGACCCTTGTAAAAAGAGTACTCATTTAGAGAGCTGAGAAAAGAACTTACTACATTCTCAAGTCATTGTTGTCCATGGCCACCTAATGAACAGGAATAAGATTTTATTTTGAGGATCTAAAAGATAAACGGTGAGGGAAAGAGTGCCTCTTCTCTTATTCCATTTGGGACCATTTCAGAAACTCACCTTGATCATCAGGTTAACATCTCAGGGACTAACTCTGAGGTCACCCTGAATTCCAAAATGGCACCCACAGGCAGTGTCTCCCCGCACCTTTCTAAGATGCTCTGGGGAAGATTTACAGCCCTTGTTTTGAAAAGAAAATAAACTAAAATCTAAAGCCCAAAGTAACGAACAACTGGTTTCATCCCTTTGCTGTGGAGTTCACTCCATTTGGTCATTCTTTGTCCCACGCCCCATTCACCACCCTGGTAAGTACTACGGATCACTGTGTGTCCCAGGCTAGATGCACAGGCAGATGCTCCTCAGCTTACTCAGATGTGGCACCAAAAGAAACACAAAGCAACACTGGTTCACAAACCCTGGCGCCGTCTCAGACCGTCTTAAAGGAGGCCCCACGGTGGGTAAGCCAGCAATTACTTTCCACCCTCACTTGTCTGCATCTCTCTAGGGAAACTTTCCAGTTCAGGGGTGGTCTTTGCAGAAACCCTGCAGAGGCAACCGCATCAAGATGCAGGAACTACGTAAGGTTCCTCAAGATTCGAGTAACAGACCAGCCTGCTGCGTGATCCTGTCCACAAAGACAGTCCACATAATCACAAATGGACCAGAGCCTCCCTACATAGCAGCTCGGTCAAGAGTCACACACAAAAAGAGACTCCATGCACAAATATCACCCCATGCCCACCGACCTGCACGTACCTGCTCCCTGTCTCCCTCCCCACACCGTGGTACCGCTGCCTTTAACTTCCAGCCTAAAATATCGCAAGGGAAATGAGGACATCCCAACCAGCCTGATAAACCGAAGATGTCTCCACACCACACCCGAGCATCCCCAAGCATCGCACTGCAAACAGCTAATTAGAACGACAGCTATCTAAGCCTTTCTATATTGGGGCTTTCAGATTAAAATGTCATTTAGTGGAATTTGTTGGACAGGAGCCAGACCATGTGCAAATTGATTTTACTGCATAAGCCTGTGGCTGGCTTTTAAAAACTTAAAAAAAAGAAAAGAAAAGAAAAAGTGCTAGCAGTTACTCTTTAGCACATTTCATTCTAGAGTCTTCCATCATTTCACAAACACCTTTATTTTTACATTAAAAAGATAGGATTGCAGAGCCCAAAGAAGGCATTCATTTGCCATGGTATCACCCACATGGGCTAAGCAAACAGCTCAGAAGTCAAGGCTCCTAGTCCTGGGGGTAGAAAATCTCAAAGCTGGAATCTTTTCAAGTGTCACTAGAAACACTCACTGCTTGGCTATGACACCACCCCAGTGATGGGTTACTGTGAGCTCCCGGTCAGGCCTGGTGGCCAGGTGGATGCAGCACGGACCTGCCAGAGGCCAGCAGGGACAGAGCTACGGTTCAACCCTAGCTTACCCCATGCACGTGAAAAGAACAGAGTTAAGTCCACATACATTCTCCCCACCAGGCCTCCTCCTAAGAGACTTAACAGCCCAAGGGGCGCTGGTCCCGCAGGCTGGACGCTGCCGGCCAAGCTCACAAAATAGGCTCCTTTGCACCCATCAAATACGGAGGCACTTTACTCCTTCCCACAGAGAAGTGAATGTTAGGTATCAGTTCCTTCCCTGGCTCAGTTTTCCAGTTTTGCATGCGTGTGTTTGCATGTTCAAAAGATAAATATTTACAGTGGACCTAAATATTTATTCTTAGAAACAAAGGTACTATAAAATCTTAAATGTCATAAGCCAGATCAACTGAATTTCAAACCAAGTCCCCTTTCTTCAACATGCTTGTTTCTCATAAATCGTTTCACAAGCAAACATTGTGCATGTAATACCAAATAATGATGCCGTGAACAATGAGGGCTTTCATACGGCACCGCAGCCCTGGCCTGCGCCAGCCTTCAGCAGAGAACTTCGTCACTGGGGTAACACTGGCAGGGCCCACGATGGAGCTGCAGTCTTGTTTTACTTGTGGTCAATGTGCTGCTGTGCTCCAGTTACTAAGTTATTCCATTGCTATCCGGACTATGTTCACCCAAAAAAAGAAGAAAAAAAAAAGCACCATCTTCGCAATGGTTTCATGTTATTGCATTTGCAAATTACAGCATACCAAATGTTACCACTTACAGTGGTGAATTCATCCTTTCAAATTTTCTCACCTTATACAAAATAACCTCTGAGCCACCCCCTCTCCCCCTCGGCCCTTTCTCACTTTGGGTACAAAAACTGCAAGCTGGATCACTCTGTAATCGAAACCTTACACCACCTTCCAAAACTTATTACAGCTGCCTTCAGTATAAAATGAAACCTTAGAGAATGTTATTTAAAATGTTTTTAAAAAGTCAGTAGGCCTCATGTTTCGTTTCTCCACATCAGGCTTTGATTTCCTTTGCAACCTTATTCTCTCCCCTTAAACAAGTCGGAGAACGAGGCCTGAAGCATCTTGGAAGAGATCCCAGGATGCCAGGCTCTGCCAAGAATGGTGTTCCCCTTTCTCAGATCCTTCAGCAACCACTCTTCCCTTGTGTCCATCAGACCCCCAAGAACGGGGATCACTAGTGAGAGGATGACAGCGCCTGGACTCCCGTTCTAACTTCTGAAAAACTGGGGTGAACACAGGGTGCAGATGGCAGGTAGGAGAGCAGGCTGGGGGGCAGCCCCCAGGAAGCGGGCAGTCCCTCCCAGGCCCAGGCCAGCAGGCATTGAGAAAGCAGGACAGGGCCAGGGCCAGGACGGTGGGCACAAAGCCCCTCCAAGAGCGAACGTGCTCTCCTTGGCCCTGGGGGTACACCAATGCCCTTGGGTCTGCAACATTTTGGGGGCAGCAAACTGATATAAAAAGAATTTGGTGTTGTTGTTCAGTTGCTAAATCGTGTCCAACTCTTTGCAACTCCATGGACTGTGTGGCCTGCCAGGCTCCTCTGTCCATGGGATTTCCCAGGCAAGAACAGTGGAGTGGGTTGCCATTTCCTCCTCCCGGGGATCTGCCTGGACCAGGGATCGAACCCACGTCTCCTGCATTGGCAGACGGAATTCTTTACCACTGAGCCACCAGGGAAGCCCATAAAGAGAATCAGGCAATGAATCATCTCTGGATGAGAGAATAAAGCCCAGAGCTGGCCCATCTCCTGTCCTTCTGTAATCACAGAAGTCATATCTCCTCTACCAGGAAGGATTTCCTTTGAGGCAAGGGGTCTCTCACAGCATGTTTAACTCTCAGGTATTATAGAAACCAGATTTTGCTCTTTATAAGGGGAGCGATATACACATACAGAAAAGCCAACAGGCATCTCATCTCTGTGTTTTTACTGAAATGTTTAAAAATACATATTCTGAGTTCAGCAGGTTGCCGAGGTACAGTGCACGGGACGGAAAGAAGATGAGCACCCTTACAGTAGAGATTCTGAGGTCCCTGCGTAAGCTCCAAATTTAGACGGAATGGAAGGCAGTCCAAAGGGTGCGGCTGCAGCCGATGGGACAGTTGGCTGCCTAGCTGGAATGAGGTTCCACCAAATAAACGTGTAGTAAGCACAGCCTGGAGTGCTTTAAAAAACACATTCTCTCCCCCGCATTCTCCCTCTCACTCCCTTTGTCAAGTACTCCAAACCAGTCGACTTTACCGAAGCAGAAGGCCCAGCTGCTAAGAGTCTACATTTTGAGACAGGCTCTCTCAAATCCTACTCTGGAGCTGGGACCAAGACTGCAGGAAGAAAACAGCCTGTTTCATTCCAAGGGGTAATTATTGAGAAGGAGAGAGAGAAAATACCTGAGTGACAAAGAATAAATCTTTGTTAATTGACCATTTGAAACTTTATAACATGCCCGTCCCTCCTCTGGACATAATAATATGTTTGCTCGTAAGAGATCTATAACTTTTGCTCTAACACAGCAAAGGCCATAAAAAACGTCCACTGGGCAGAAAGGCCTCCTGTCCATGGGCTCCGTAAATACACATCCCCAGGATCAGGAGGAGAACCAGCTTCTTAAATTACACCTATAAATTAATCAAGTCCGGAGTCGCCAATTTCCCAGCACACACTGGTCTTCTAAGTATTTCTCCACAAAGTTCAGCAGCGCTTGCCACAAAGAACCATTTCAAAGCCACACTCTCTGGCAGCAAAACACAGAGAGACTCCAATCACAGTGCATGCCCAGAACCGATCTGAAAACAGCGAGCCTCCTCCTTCTCGGGCACCCATTCATTTCAGGGACGTGAAGAACCCTGCCTGCCCTGTCTTTAAATTAAAATCAAAATTGAATTACCCCTCCTCTGAAATGGCAGTTTCTTAGCAACTCCAAGGGGCTGAATAGGGAAAGAACATTCTGCGATTTGGAGGACACGTGAAAACAACTGAGAATTCTTGCTCCTAAAGCCCAGCCTCGCTTTTTTTCTCAAGAGTAGGCGGTGGTGGCTTTTGTTGCATTAAAAAAAAAAAACAAAAAACGCACTAAACCAGTTAGCATGAGGCCTGGTTATTAGGAGAGCCGATCAAAAGCCTCTGATGTTTGAGGAGCCCAAGAACCTGCGAAAGACCTCACACTAATTACAATTAGTAGAATGAGTTCATTGCCTTGTCAAGACTCTGCTGAATATGCCCTCAAACCAGCCAGACTACATCTAACTGGGTTCTGAGTTTTCTTTTCCCTAAGCTTCCTCCGGCA